GTCATTGCATATAATCTTTGAGTCAGGAAATATTGTATGGCACAGATGGGATATATAGAAACTTCCACCGAACAAATCTACAAATGTTAGACCATTCGGTAGTTTCTTAAGTTCTCTCAATAGAATATCTTTACATCTACTCTTATTTCCAAAGAAGGGTAACGGTGGTTTTGTAAAATTCATTTTATATATATAATAAAAATGTTTTTTCCTGAAAAGTGACAGAAAAGGCTTCTCAAAGTATACTTCTTGGAACGCCCGTAACTTTTCTGTAGCGACGATAGACCCTTACTTGTCCGGACATAGTTATACTATTTTGAGTCCTCTACCGAAAAGTCAACGACAACGACTTTCAAAAATTTTAAGGGCTAGAAGGCACGAAGTGCCTGGGAAGCCCCCTTCACCAAAAAAAACCTCATTTATACTTCATTGTATACTAAACATCTTCGGGGCTAGAGGGCACGAAGTGCCTGGAGGCCCCACTACCCTTTTTTTTTTTTTTTTTTTTTATTTCAAAGAATGTTAAACATCGAATTTCAATTCGAGAAAGGAGTTTACAAATGCAGGGTAAAGGGACAATACCCTGCATTTGTTAACTCCTTTCTTGTAAAACCTTCCTCCAAAAAAATATAAAGATCACATTCTTCTTAAAACTCTCAAAATCTCATTATTTCAATCTATAGATCCGTATTTTTCCCAAGTGAGCGGGGTATCTCCAATCCCAGCCCTATCGTCCTCCTAGTGTCAGTTTTCAATATAAAATCCAAATTTTTTTTGAAAATAAAAATTTCGAGAAATTTTTCTAATTTTTTTTCTTTGATTTCAATAATTCAAAATAAATTTGGGAGTAAAAAGACACTATTTAATGAAATTCATATGAGTGAATGTGGATAAATACTCTCAAAACATACAATTTATCTATTTTTTCTTTATATTATCAACTAATTAGTGATGATTTTTTTGAATCAGATTTTTTTTTCATTAAAAACATAATATATAACACAACAATGATGCACACATACGTATCTACACATCAAAATATAAAGCTTGTTTTGGTCTGGGCATCCCAACCCAAAATTCTTAAAAAATTGAATAAAATTGAATACTTGGGGCTGGGATACCCATCCCAAAACCGAATTGAATTTTTTGAATTAAAGAATATATTTATGTATTTATAATATACATGTGATGTCTATAAAAAATACTAAATTCTAAAAAAAATTCAATTTATTCAAAACGTATACTAAGTGATCACTTCATTAGTAGGATCAGCAATCCTACTAAATGGTGAGAACGCCACTAACTAAAAAGGGAGTCCTTGGAGCTCTTGATCTCTTGTCAGTAGAGTTCATAATGAGGCATGGCATCTACTGATTAGAGATCAGAGCAATCCTACCTTACCTTCAGGAGCTACAAAGCTCCTAATCGTTACGAGAGGGAGCCTTGGAGCTCCTGAAGCTCATCAGCAGAGGCTATTTACCATTTGGGCCTCTTCTGATGAAAGATGCGAAACACGTCTACGAACCAGGAGCTTCAAAGCTTCTAATCCTTACTAAAGGGAGCTTTGGAGCTCCTGAGTCTCCATCAACAGAGTCCCAGATGGTAAATGTCCTTTGCTGATGAAAGATGCGAAACACATCTACGAACCAGGAGCTCCAAAGCTCCTAATCCTTACGAAAGAAAGCTTTGGAGCTCCTGAAACTCCTTTTACTATAAAATAGGACAGTTTTCTTCTGAGGTTCTCATCAAATCTAAGACTTCAGAAGAAAGCTGTCCTATCAATGTATACTTACACTCTCATGGACTACAAGTGTACAATTTTAAGGCAGAGATTATCCGAGGCCTCTCATCAAATGAGGGACCTCGGATAATCTCTACCTTAAGTAGTCAAATAACTTTTCTCACTATTTAGGAACAAAAGAACAAGAGTTGGAGTACTTTAAGGCAAGATTTTTCCGAAATCTCTCATCGAATGAGAGACTTCGGAAGGACCTTGCCAAATCATTGAACGCCAATATCCTTGGAACTGAGCTAGAACCAGGGAGAAGTAGCATACTATAGAGCACGATGGTAATCTCGGAAATGCTTATATCGCCCCAAGCACAATATTTAAGAAGTCTAACTCATATATACAAGAAGTCAGGCTGAATAGATATTGTGCATATGGTTTGCAGAACTCTCATGATATTTAAAATTCATGTTATCCCAAAAAGGTGACACTTTGGGTGTATCGTCCATCCCAGGGATGCAAAAATCACATCACCTTGGATCTATATTTCAATCTTATAATCATAAATAAACATACTCTTTCTATCTAATATTTCTCTATTCCTTAATTTTCTTATGAAATTTGTTATTTTTTATTTAATTTTTAAAATTTTCAATTTTTTTGGATAATTTTATTCAATTTTATGATAATTTATTCTATTCTCATTATATAATAATATTGTTCATTTTTATTTTTTTAATTTTTCAATGCATACGATAATTTTTAATTCAATTTTTAACGAATGTTTTGATGGGATGAGCTTACTGAGCATAGGCTCATCCCATCAAAACATTCCCTTAAAAACTCTGGCCTTCATCGAGGCCAGAGTTTACAATTCATCAGCTCAGAGCCAAGTTCCTCGACGGTCGTCCTCATTAGGCCCGATCCGAGAGGAACTTGGCTCTTCATTAAAATCACAAGCTCTGGCCATTGCTAAGGCCAGAGCTTCGCAAACCATCCTCGGGCCGGTTTCCTCAAAGACCGCCCTGATTCGGGGCGGCCGGAGAGGAAACCAGCCCCGAGAGAGTTCCCATACGAAGCTCTGGCCCAAGCAAAGGCCAGAGCCTGCAAATACAATCCTCAGGGCCGAGTTTTGCGATGATCGTCGATCATGTCGACGGTCTCGCAAGAACTCGGCCCTGAAAGACATACAAATACAGGCTCTGGCCCTAGCAAAGGCCAGGGCTTCGCTTACTGTCCTCAGGGCCGGCTTTCTCAAATGCCGTCCTGATCTAGGGCGGCAGGAGAGGAATCCGGCCCTGGGAACATCCAAATACGAAGCTCTGGCCCAAGCAAAGGCCAGAGCCTGCAAAATACTCAATGTTCAACAATTACAAATCTCATGTCACCCAGAAAGCTATGAAGGAAGCCCTTTCTCTAGGTTAGGACTTCCTTCATAGCTTTCTGGTACTGAGTGGAGTGGTTTTGGCTTCCATTGCCGCTCACTCCAGTAAGATCACGAGATTGTACAAAAGCCACGGCAAGTGCATTCCAACACCATAAATACACTTGCCGTGGAATAAGGTTGCGAGTGCCTGCTGCTTCAACCGAGATTTGCAGCAGACACTCGCAATGATAACTAAAATTCATCATAAAGCTGGGAAATGGGCCTTTTCTCAAGGTCAAATCCCATTTCTCAGCTTTATGATATTGAAACGAACATTTTGAGAGGTTATTACTGTTTTTCCCGGAATCATCTTGAGATTCCGGGAAAGTCATAGCAAGTGTAATCTATTAGCATAGATACACTTGCTATGACACATATATGCCAGCATCTGCTGCTTACCCCCAAATAAGTAGCAGATGCTCGGCATCACATCTTGAGATCCTTATTATCTGCGTATTTTTCATTTTAATATATATAAATGTGTGTGTCTAACACAAGTCTATATGCGCCATGTAAAATATACACTAATACACACATATTGATCATAATTAATAAGATATCAAACTATAAAAACTGAGATATTACTATAAACTATATGTATTATTATTATATAGGTACCATACTATAAGGTCATATGAATATTATTGAAATTAGACACACTTTATATAATTTTATAATGTGAATAACTTGGGTCATAATTTTTTTTACGTAATTCCTACACGAAATGATCGGCATTATCCTAGTCTATCTGCGTGCAAAATACCAAGGAACAAATCAAATACTCACCATATCTTTTTTTAAAAAGGTCCAATCGGTGTATGGTGATTTTCACCTCACATGGCACAACCCCAAAACTTTCGGAATTCCTTCTAAAGTATAAAGTCTCGCGATAGCGGATGGATATAGTGAGACAGCATCGAAGTCAGCAATGAGTTTCATTTCGCTCTTTTGTTTCTTATTATCAGCTAACATACATCTTCCACCTTGAATACAGCGTGAAATAAACTCACGAGGTTTATTTGATAGGTCATATAAATTTCCATTAGGGAAGTATACTCTGTTCTCAAATAATTTATTAGCAATTGAACAAATGCTAACGTAATCATAAACGTTTAAATCAAATTCTTTTAATATATCATTTCTGAACTTAACGAAACCTTCTCTTAAAATCCTTACGTCCTGTTTACAGTAAAATGAGCTATATTTTTCTAAATCGAAATGGTTTTCATCTATTCTGCAGTTTTCGATTAAATCTATGTTTTTCATGAACGTTTCAACATCCTGGACAAACTTACATGCTTCAGAAATGACACCAGTTCTGTTATCATTAGCTAATAAAGAACTTGAATAGTATTTGTATGGGAATACTTCCTTAGGACCTGTTTGTAAATGAAACATTTCTGGGAACTTCTTAAGTTTTGTACTAATAACTGTGTAAGAATCTTTTATAATGATTGCTTTACCTTTATATATTTCCGTTATCTGCATTGTTCTAGAACTCTTAATAATCGGTGTTCCTTTAGTTTCTGTTAAATGCCTTAAAATGAAATTGATATCATAACTGAGGTTATGAAAATATACTAAACTCTTATCTGGAATTCTTTCTAAAAATTCTGTTGCACAATTTTGACCCCAAATGCTTTCACTCTCTGAACCATCTTCACTGTCATAACAAATGTTAAAAGCTTTATGAACTCCATCAGTGCTGCATTCAAAGTCAGCGAAGAAAACGTGTTCATAAATGAATTTATGTTTTGATTCTGAGCTATCCTTGCTTTCGGACTTTTTCTTTAACTGAACACAGTAGTTGGGAGTATAATTTAAATCTTTAAACGGTGCAAGTTTTTATTTATATAAATCTGTTGTATAAGTGAAAAGTTCTCCATAAGATAAAGGTTCAAAGTAATTGCACTCTCTTAATGTTTTCAAAATTTCCCATAAAGGAGTTGTTCGTGAAGAATCAATAATAAATTTATTTTCTCTTGGGTCTTCATCTAGCGCTTGAAGAATTGCTTTGATTTTTCTTTGATCCGGCGATTTTTTGTCAATTTTTATGATGGGCGCCTTTTTGTTCATGAAGTGATACATCCTAACATGATACGTTACAGTGGAATAGCTGGGAGCATCCATACCGAAGCATTTTACCAATGTCTCGTAGATTTTTTTACAGTCTTTGCATTTTTTTGCAAGAGCGAGGATGTTTTCTTTATGATTCATTAAAAAAATGAAAAAATCCCGCCAAAATTTCCCGCGAAACCGCCTCTTGTCTCAAAATTCATTTTATATCCCGGCATGGCGCCAAAATACAACATACTCATCATATACATATATTCATATTTTTTATTATATATTTATAATCAGCATATATCTCCTTTAATAGTCTCATATAGAGCGCTGTGCTAAATGCACCTTTGGACACCCTATATCATAAAATAAAAGGTTTCAATGAATGACATGAAACAGTTTTATTATTATTAATAAATGTTTATTAAGATAAAAGAATAACGATAAATACAAAATAATTTAGTGATGAAACGCATTTACCAACTTGTTTACAAGTAAAGTTTACACACTTAGAAAGTGAGTTCTTACTGATGCCAGAGTTGATCAACATTTCTTTGAACAAAATAGTTTTGTTATCATAATCAATTCCACATGTGAGAGATTTGATTTAGAATTGAAAACCAAAGATTTCATTTTAGAACATCGATAAAAAGAGAAACTTCCAATGGTTGTCAACTCTGAACCAAATGAAAATGAATCAATCAAAGAAACTTCAGAAAACGCATAATCACCAATAGTCTTGACACTAGAAAGTGAAGGAAATGATGTGAGTCCTGAAAATGAATTCAACTATATCTTTGATAAAGGTTTAAACGTGAAACTTGAAAATGAAAATATAGTTGAATTCACTGAAACGGGCGCAGTTTATAAAGATGTTGAAGTAATAAATAAGAAGGCAAAAGGCAGGAGTAGAAATATGAACATCGATTATAAACCATTTACTATTTACGTAAATGATGGTTCTGGTGGTTCAAATATTAAATATGCCGAAAGTAATAGAGTTTATGCGTTAAAAGGTGAGACACCATCAATTAAAAACAGTTATTCTAATCTTTATCCTCAAAAACTAACTAATCCAGAAAGTGTGGACATGAATGACACCAAAAATATAAACAGAAACGGTGATAGAGATGGATGGAATCTATTCACTACACCTCATCTAAAAATAAAGCTTTAAAATAATGTTGGTCTTTCCCAAGGTATATTTTTAACATTAATTGTATTAGTCATTATATGAATTTCTAAATATGAACGTGGTGAAATGAGTGATTTATAAGCATCCCAGATTTCATCAAAAGGTAATGTTATTCCTGATTGCTTCCAAATTAATTCTATATCGTATTTTGAGAAACTTTGAAATATAACGAAATCAGTAATTAAACGTTTAATATTTAATGCTAAAAACCTCCACGTTTGCATAAGTATTGCAACAGTCATGTGATAATGTCTGACTTTCGTTATTAAATTAGCTAATGGTGAATCTGGTTTTGAAACTAAACCTTTACCAGCGAAATCATCACAAACTAATAAAGTGTTTGATGGATATTTTTTGAACGGATATTTTGAAAGTTTTGAGAGAATGTAGTTTGTAAGTCTTTTCATATCATAGTTTCCATCCTGCTGTCTCAAATGATGTTTATCAATAATTCTTTCCATTTCTTCCGATGTCTTTTGCATTCCTGATTGTATAAATTCAACTATTGCATAATATTTCTTCTTTCTTCTTATATATTGTTGAAGAAAAGAAATTAACTCATTATCCGGAACTTTAATTACTGATGCCTGGACTTTACTCATAAATGTCTTCGCTGTTGAATCCATTGAATCTGAAGTTGCTGATATAATGATTTGGTCATAATATGAATCTTGACCTAAACGTTCAGTAATTAAAATATGACGAATTAAATTAAAAGTCTTTCCGAACCCATTTTCCGCAATAGAAATACACACCGTTTGAACAGAACTGATAATCCTTACTGAAGGGAAGAATTAATGAACTATTGAGTTTATCAGATTTTTCATTCATTTTTTCATCTACTTCTTCAAATAAATGTTTCATTTTATTATAATTAAAAATGCAAGTCAGAAATTTTGTTAATACCGTTCCCAGTCTTAATGATAAAAGTATTAAAATCTATTATGAGCACATATTTTCACAACCGTTTAAAATAATCAATGGTGAATACATTTATGAATACCCTAAACACTGGGTTGATTATAACACTGGCGAAAAAGCAATTGAAATAAGACAGATAAAAACCATTCCTGCAGGACGAACCATTGAATTATATAACTTTGGAATAATAAGAGATAATCATCAATATGATTTACAGATTTATATAGATTTAGACACAGGAGATGATATGACAGCATTTAATAAAAAGATTAAATCGGTTCTTATTGAACAGTTAAAAGGTGCCGGATATCCTCAACCTAATGAAGTTGATATGTTTTATAGTTTTGAAACTAATTCAATAGAATTTCGTGTTAATTCAAATTCAAAAGCTGGTTTCATATTTGATTTAAAAGATGGTGCTGTCGGTGATGAGATTGAAAATATATACACGAATAAAAATTTTCAAGAGATTACAGGAATTAATAATGATGAATGCTTTTATCGATTTGCTCAGTTCGGAGCAGAACAGATAACATTAAATGACCTCCTGGAGTACTTACCAAAATCAATTTCCATTAAAAATGATGATTATTTATTAACATCAATTTCATTTAATGGTGTTTGGTCCAGAGAAGCGGCAATCATTAAATCAAGTATAAGTGAATTCGCTGAAGATTCTATTTTATGTTTATCAAACTGTTTATATTCTCCGCCGAAGCATTATTCAATAACTAATTATGTTAATAAATTTAATATAAAATTAGTTGAACCATCGAGCCTAAAAGATATTGTCCTTCCTGATGACAGAAAAGATAGTATTATTATCGAACTCATATTAATCGCTTATTAAAATTTAATTATATATAAATGAGTTCAACGACTGAAAGCGCATGGGCTAGTTTTGATGAAGATCCTAAACCGCGGAATTATAATAGAATTGTAATTCCTGTAGGTCTTTTATTAGCTGCTGGTGCTGTAGCGGGACCATATTTATATAGAAATTTATATAGAACACCGATTAATTCAACTGCCGGGGCTGATCTTATTCCAACAGGTCTGAAAAAATCTACACCGATTCAAACAAGCCCGACACAGGAAAGGAACCGCGAACCACTCACACGTATTAGGTCTTTTATTAATTATTTAAAGAATAGTGATTATAATTTGTAATAAATGACGTCGTTAAATGTAAAAATAATTTGTGATGATATTACTATCATTGATGATGTAAGCGAGTGTGCTAATATAATTGATAGAATTAATGAACTAATAAAGAGGTTCAGTGGTGAAAAAGTCAGAGTTTCATTAACGTTTAGCTCCGATGAAAAATTTTATGAGTTAATCATTTTGAGAAATGATTTTAATAAGCATTAAATGGTATTTTCAACACTATCAGCTTTGTATGGAGGTTATAAAGCTATTGACGGTTTAACTGGTGGAGCTGTATCAAAAGCTTTAAAAAATAATGCTGGAATGCTTGTGGGAGCTGCTGCCAGAAAATTAAAATCTGAAAAGTTAAAGAAATTAGGTAACTGGGTTGCTGACCAGTCGCAAAACCTTTTAGGTGAAGATAATGAAATATCTAAGCAGCTAAAAGATTTTAAAGGTCAGTTGAATGGCGAAGAGTTTAAATTAAATTCACTTAAAGAAAAGGAGAAACAGCCAGAATATCCACCAATTGAGGCACCGCCGATTAATTCAGCACCTGCGCCATCACCATCACCAGCGCCAGTAACTGCAGTCGCACCATATGACCCTGGCGGTTATGGAAGACCTTTTGACCCTAAAACAGGAGGTTCTAATTGGTTCCATTACGGTCGAAGATATATTTTAGCTAAAATCGCAAAAGCAAAGAAACTGTTAAAAACTAAAAAGAAACCAAGAGTTTTAAAGTAATTAAATGGTTAGAGATGTTCTCGAATACCCTGCACCACCTGAAACGCCTAACAATAATGATTTATATAATCGATTGAAAACTTTAGGTAAAGTGTATTTATGGTTTAATTATCCTTATCATATGGCGGCTTATAAACTTTATAAGCACTATAAAGAAAGTAATAGACCTTCAACCGACCTAGTTGATCCACAGGAATTAAGGAAAAGACGACGATAAAAAATAAAGTTAATTTTAAAAATATTTTTTATTTTTTACTTTTAATAAAATGAGTACTAAAATTACTGAAGCAACAAAACAAAAGTTTTTAGTTGAATACATTAAATCAGGAACTATTCCAGAAGGTTTTTATGTTCATCAAATGAAAGATGGTAGAGTTCAATTTAGAAAAATTAAGCAGCCATTAAATAAAAATGGTATTTTGAGAAAGATTAAATTATATGAAGATAATATAGCAGAACTGAAGAAGAAGTTAGAAGAATTCGAAAAATCAGATGAAGCCGCGTAGAGGCGAGACCCTTTGGGTCATGAAATAATAAATTTTATTTTTATATAAAATGAATTTTACTAATAAATTATTAATTATTGTTTCATTACTTCTCATCTCCCGTGAAGCTCGTTTATGGTATGAATCTATAACGTATGTGGATGATGATAGTGATGACATTCCTGAATCATGCCAGCATATTTACTGTTGAAAATTCACAAGGTTAGAAATGAGGTTAGATATCGGGTTAGATATACCCTAAAATTAATTTTATCATTTATGAAAAATTTAGTATATACAGAAATTAAAAAATTTTTGAGTTAATTTATTTTAAAAAAATTATTTTTTTTACTCTGGGTGTTAAAATCTATGATAAAAAAATAAATAAAAAAATTTAACGTTAATTTTTTAAAGTTTATTTTTAAAAAATTATTTTTTTTATTTTGTGTAAATGTCAAAAATTTTAACGTTAATTTTTAAGTTTATTTTTTAAATTTTTTTAATTTTTTGTAAATGTCAAATGTATTTTACGTGTCAAACGGTTTTTGTCAAATCCAATAATTTTGGTTCCGAGGGGCGTAGACCCTTGGTACCGAAATTATGGATACTAACTATAAATTTATTAGGGATTTAAAAAAAGTTCGCAAAATGGCGAATTGCGCCACTTCTAATTTTTTGGCGAATTCGCCATTTTTCAATTTACAAACCATATAAAAGGGTCTGTTATTTTTATTTTGTGGAATTCTCGTTTTTTATTAATAAAGGGTCTAACATTTTTATTGTGTGATAATCTTCATGATTTTAAGATAGGGTCTACTATTTTTATTTTGGGATTATCATTTTCCTCTCAATTTTACTTTACAAAATGGCGAATTCGCAATTTGGCGAAGACGTTAAGGCCAATATTATGTTTCCATTTTTCTTATCAATTTGCAAAATATATTTGATGAATATATATATTATGACAATAAAGTTCATATTTGTTCACGATTAAAATTTTTTTTTGGTTTTGCATTTCATTATGCTGATTGCAAAATTAGCTTTTCTTGAGGTTAGTTTGATTAAATCATATCAATTTATTCTCATACTAACTAATCAGAATAATTTTGAATTCAAAAATAAGAACTTTATGATTAAGTTCGTTATAAATTATTACTCATAACATAAACAGTTTTTATGTGCGCTTTAAGAAATGGCATGGTTTTAATTTGAAAAATTTGAATGAAATAAATTGTTGCCTTTTCCGCACACTAATTATAGATCCAAGGTGATCTGATTTTTGCATCCCTGGGATGGACGATACACCCAAAGTGTCACCTTTTTGGGATAACATGAATTTTAAATATCATGAGAGTTCTGCAAACCATATGCACAATATCTATTCAGCCTGACTTCTTGTATATATGAGTTAGACTTCTTAAATATTGTGCTTGGGGCGATATAAGCATTTCCGAGATTACCATCGTGCTCTATAGTATGCTACTTCTCCCTGGTTCTAGCTCAGTTCCAAGGATATTGGCGTTCAAGGATTTGGCAAGGTCCTTCCGAAGTCTCTCATTCGATGAGAGATTTCGGAAGAATCTTGCCTTAAAGTACTCCAACTCTTGTTCTTTTGTTCCTAAATAGTGAGAAAAGTTATTTGACTACTTAAGGTAGAGATTATCCGAGGTCCCTCATTTGATGAGAGGCCTCGGATAATCTCTGCCTTAAAATTGTACACTTGTAGTCCATGAGAGTGTAAGTATACATTGATAGGACAGCTTTCTTCTGAAGTCTTAGATTTGATGAGAACCTCAGAAGAAACTGTCCTATTTTATAGTAAAAGGAGTTTCAGGAGCTCCAAAGCTTTCTTTCGTAAGGATTAGGAGCTTTGGAGCTCCTGGTTCGTAGATGTGTTTCGCATCTTTCATCAGCAAAGGACATTTACCATCTGGGACTCTGTTGATGGAGACTCAGGAGCTCCAAAGCTCCCTTTAGTAAGGATTAGAAGCTTTGAAGCTCCTGGTTCGTAGACGTTTTCGCATCTTTCATCAGAAGAGGCCCAAATGGTAAATAGCCTCTGCTGATGAGCTTCAGGAGCTCCAAGGCTCCCTCTCGTAACGATTAGGAGCTTTGTAGCTCCTGAAGGTAAGGTAGGATTGCTCTGATCTCTAATCAGTAGATGCCATGCCTCATTATGAACTCTACTGACAAGAGATCAAGAGCTCCAAGGACTCCCTTTTTAGTTAGTGGCGTTCTCACCATTTAGTAGGATTGCTGATCCTACTAATGAAGTGATCACTTAGTATACGTTTTGAATAAATTGAATTTTTTTTAGAATTTAGTATTTTTTATAGACATCACATGTATATTATAAATACATAAATATATTCTTTAATTCAAAAAATTCAATTCGGTTTTGGGATGGGTATCCCAGCCCCAAGTATTCAATTTTATTCAATTTTTTAAGAATTTTGGGTTGGGATGCCCAGACCAAAACAAGCTTTATATTTTGATGTGTAGATACGTATGTGTGCATCATTGTTGTGTTATATATTATGTTTTTAATGAAAAAAAATCTGATTCAAAAAAAATTATCACTAATTAGTTGATAATATAAAGAAAAAATAGATAAATTGTATGTTTTGAGAGTATTTATCCACATTCACTCATATGAATTTCATTAAATAGTGTCTTTTTACTCCCAAATTTATTTTGAATTATTGAAATCAAAGAAAAAAATCAGAAAAATTTCTCGAAATTTTTATTTTCAAAAAAAATTTGGATTTTATATTGAAAACTGACACTGGGAGGACGATAGGGCTGGGATTGGAGATACCCCGCTCACTTGGGAAAAATACGGATCTATACACTAATACTTAATAATATTAATATTATTTGGAATCTCTTCCTTTATGATATTGTGAAGGAATTTATCTAAAATTAGATAACATACCCCTTTTTTTGGTGAAAAAAATGTTTTGGTGAAAAAATGGTTATTTCCCATCAAAAAGTGAACTAAGCTGGGTGACTTGGTGATACTCTCCCTATTATTTACTCACCTTTTTGACACTCATATGAGAACTGAAGCTTATTCGCTTTGCAAACAAGATTAGACATGAGTTTTATATGGATAAATTCATTAGCTAACCTTGCTTGTATTAGCTAATACGTTTTCAGTCCATTTTTAATAAGATTATTTTGATAATTTCAACAAAGGTCAAGAACTACAATTACTAACAACATGGTTCGCTACAAATTCCACAAAATATACGATCTGCACTATGTTTTAAAGGAACGTAATGTTCCGCAATAATGCACTGTCAAGGGTGTATTTTACGAAATCGTGTCATAGAATCATGTTTGTTTGTTGATAAAGGCTAGGTTTTGAGACTTCGCTTAAAAATTAATTTTTCAAATTTCACATTCGAAATAAAAATTTCAGTTTTACAAAGAAAGCTCAGAGTAAGTTTAAAATATCGATACTTTTTATACTACGATGATAGTTTTGCTAACTGTCATAATTTTAAAATAATACACAAATAATTTCCGAATTGCTGCTAAATTAAACACATTACTTTAAGACAAATTATTCTTTTCTTATTTTTTATTATAATAATCTACTTATTTTCCTTTAGTATCCAAGTTTTAGTAAAATTTCATTCTAAATTTCAGCATGTATATGCAATAATCGCAATTAATAACAAGATGTGAAATACACTGTGTAAACCATTTTATAATTCATCTGATATTTTATTCTTTTCTCTGATAAAATTAATATAAAATTATTTACATATTTTTCATATTTAATGTATTTGTTGATAATATCATATATTCTTATTTTATGTTGTAGATTTAATTTCTTTCTAAACATAACTTTATCGGTGGAAATTTTCAAAAATATAAAATTTTTTAATTTTTTTATAATTTTTTCCAAAAAAATCTAGGTTTTGTCTTTTTGATTTTATCCACTTCATTTTTTTCCTAGCAATTTAGACTTCGCGAATTTTTTTGGAAAAAGTCCATAGCTCGTTTAGGCAAAGAGGCATCATCACCAACCGCACATATTCATGCACAATCGATTTAAACACGAAAACAACACACTTACCTTAAAATTTCGAAATCATTAACACGATTTTCATAATATTCAACTCAAATACGTATACGACCATCAAAATATACCAAAGATCTCAGAGTTAACAATAAAACTACCACTTAATAGACTATTACAGATACAAATTAGAAGTCACCACAACAAAAGAGCAAAAGAGAAAGAGAAGACGAGAAGAACATGAAAAAAGACAACAAACTAACTCTGATTCAGAAGAAAAAGTACGAGACAAGCACAAATGAAACACTTAATTTACTGTTTCGTACAGGAAATTTGGCCCGAACACAATAGGGCCTATATAAAGACGAATCAATATATCTATTTATCTTGTTTGTATTCGAATAAACTAATTGTTTAGTCTTAAAAATCAAATCTTTTTCCTCTCATTAGATGTCAAATTTTTTGAGTAGTTTACACTTTTGGCGGGATTCCCTAATTATGTTTGATTTTGTGTTTATTCATCTCTATATCACATATTATGCATATAATTCTCATATCAAAGATTTTTGAAATTTTCAGATTTTTTTTCTAAACCAATGCATATCTTTTCTTATGATATTTAGAAAGCACATTAGGCATTAATTATATATATCCATTATCAGCCGGAATTAGGTTTCTCCATTCAAATGTCACGTTTCTGCCACCACCAAACCCTCAAAATTTCACCAAAAAGGGGTATGTTAATATTTGCAAAAATTTAGGTTTTTCTCAATTACTCAGCATTTCTAATAATAGAATTTACTTGTGTAAAAAGATAATTGAAAAGAAGAAGAAATTATTCAATATAATGAGATAAATAAAAGATATTATCGAGATTATCTAAAAAACACGAGAAGTCATTACAGTATTTGCATGGTACTGTATTAATATGTTTGAAGTTATATGATAAGTTTCCAAAAACAAGTGTTGACACCTTGAATCTGTCAATTATTCACTTAAATTCAAAATGGTTATCATGAGCATCATGACTATAAGAAATAAAGTTCTAACCATACTGTAACTATTTGACATATGCAAAAATTATCAATGATTATAGCGAGAATCAGTATAAATTATGTCACTTTTTGAGTTCGCCGAATTCGAAAAAATTAGGCTGAGTTAGCGAATTTTCAGCAATTCGCCATTTGGCGAAACCGTTTTTAAATCCCTAAATTTATCCATATCATTTGAGGAGAATTGCATGAATAAGAAAATTGGCGGGGTTTAGCGATCTTAAATTCTCTTTTATAGCAATATTTGAATAGGATATAGCTCAGCTGGATAACATCCCGATCAAGTTCGATTATTTAGTTCCTTCCTAAGCGAAATTTTAAGGTACAAAGTTGTTAAATCAATACCCACACTTATGTTAATGTATAATATATGTTATTTCTGATATTATATGCTGATTCTAAAAAAACATTAATTTGATTTTCATAAAAATTCGACAAAAAAAGTTCTTAATACTATATATATTAAAGTGTGCCTTCACTCCGAGGTGTTACCCCCTGCATTTTCTTTCGTTGAAAATTCGGTGATAGTTAGTATACAAGTCTTGGGTATGGTGGCACTGCGTTCCACCTTACCCAATACTTGTGAATTTGACACTTTACAAAGCCGCCAACAATTTCACCTCACTATCGTTCTCACTAACAACTTCACTAATGTTCTCATAAATTTTCCTCAATATCTTCATCATCAGTGTTAACCCTATTGTAGTCATACTTGAAGCCATAAACTTTCTCTAACTTCTTAACGTACAATTTACATAACTTACCTTCGTCATCGTATGGTTTAATGATATAACTATTTCTATCTTTATAAACAGTCAATGAAAAGTCAACTGGTCTCGGATGTATTTGAAAGAACATGTTATGCTCAGGAAGGAAGAATAAATGTTTAAATGTATGTTTGTTATATGTTTTGATTTGTATGAGTTGCTTTTGTTCTGTCATTACATCCAAATAAAATAAAAATAATTTTAAAAAATAAAATAAAAAATAAATGATATCACCACCCTCACACGTATGAAAACATAGCACAAAAATAAATTTAGGTGAAGTGGTGAGATCTAACCCGATTTCTAACCTCATTTCTACCCTGTTGAATTCATTGCTTTATAACTCTCTTCCTTGGTTTCTTTTTAGTTGCTTTCTTCACGTCTGTCTCCAACTTGACTGTCTTTCTTCTTCGTCCATAATGATACCAATTACTTCCACCAGTCAATGGGTCAAATGGTCGTTCATAAGGGTTTCCATCGACTCTATTTAAATGCATTGTTTCACCTTTCATCTGGTCATTAAAGTCTTTTGCGTGTTTTGCAAACTCATCGTCCTTTCCTAAAGCATTTTCTGACTCAGTCGCAACCAAATTGGATGCTTTATTTATGAGCCCTATTTTATTTAATCTTAACTTCTTTGCAACCCAGCCTCCAATCTTCCCTTTATTTGCATCTAATGTCTTTGAAACCCTTCCTCCACTCATTTTATTTACTGCGTCATAAGCTCCAAGTGCTTTTGCTCCAAATGCTAATGCTTTTGTTCCCATTGCGCCTAAAGCTGCCCAAGCTACCATTTACCCCATATTAAAATCATCTCTCTTCAATATTATCTCATAAAAGTTCTCGTTACTGGAGAAAGTCAATGAAACATAAACATTCTCACGGGCTTCACCCTCACCGCTTTGCGGTCTATCTAACTTCTTTCTTATCTCATCTATTCGCTTCAAAATGTCTGAACAATTGCTAACATCTTCTACAACAGTTATTTCATCATGAACGACCTTTAAGAACAAGCTCATTTAATATGCAATTAAAATCATCTCAATAATGAGTCCATCCTTTCCATCTTTAGGTAGCACAACATCTTTCATTGAAGAAGGTTCGACAAGTCTTATGTTAAACTTACTGACAAAGTTTGTTATACTATAATGCTTCGGTGGCGAATACATGTAGTTTGAAAGACATAATATAGATTCTTCAGCAAATTCACTTATACTGGATTTTATAACAATGTTCTCACGAGACCAAACGCCACCAATTGACAATCTTGTAAGCAATCCTGCTGAGCCTTCAACTGTAAACGTCGATGGTAACATTCCACGAAGGTCATCTATTGACATCTTTGAGTCACTGAATTTAAATATTTTCTTAAAGCAATCGTCATTATCTAACCATGCAATAGCTTTGAAGTTTTCATTCGAATATACATCTGCTTCATTAAATGTAAAACCTGACTTCTTTGCAGAGGCGATTTTAAAATCTATTGCATTTGTTTCAAAATTATATGCTATGGTAACTTCTGAAGGTAATGGGTGTCCTTCTGCTATAAGTTGTTCTTTCAATACCATTTGAAGCTTTGTGTTAAAAACTTTCATGTCATCTCCTGTATCTAAGTTCACATACACAGCAACAGGGAAACTATCTTGCTTCTTTATTTCATCATTATATCTCAAAACATTAAAGTTCTTCAATAATATTGTCCTTCCTGCTGGAATACTTCTAACTTGTCTTATTTCAATAGCTTTCTCACCTCCTACATACTCTACCCAGTGTCTTGGATATTCATAAGTATACTGACTTTCTTGAATTTTGGTTGGTTTCATCATAACGTGTTCATAGTATATCTTTATACTCTTGTCAGTTAGACTCGGTGCTATGTTCTGAATATTTCTGACTTGCATTTTTAATGGAGATAAAATGAAGCATTTAATACATGACGTAGATGAAGACATGAATGAAACTACAGACAAACTTAACTCTTCTCTTATTCTTCCTTTCAGCAAAGATTATGAATTCTGTTCAAATGGTGTGTATTTCTATTGTGGAAAGATGGGTTCAGGTAAGACATTTAACCTCATTCGTCATATACTCATAACAGAGCGTTTAGGAAACGACTCTTACTATGACCAAATCATTATATCAGCAACTTCAGACTCTATGGATTCAACAGCGAAAACATTCATGAGTAAAGTTCAAGCATCTGTCGTTAAAGTTCCAGATAGCGAACTCATTGAATTTCTTCAACGTTACATTCGACGTAAGAGAAAATATTATGCTATTGTAGAGTTCATACAGTCAGGAATGCAAAAGACTTCAGAAGAGATGGAAAGAATTATTGACAAACACCACTTACGTCAGTACTCAGGAGTTTACGATATGAAACGACTGACAAACTACATTCTATCAAAACTTTCAAAATACCCCTTCAAAAAGTATCCTTCAAACACTCTGCTCGTTTGTGACGACTTCGCCGGAAAAGGTTTAGTGTCAAAGCCTGACTCACCATTAGCTAACATCATAACTAAAGTCAGACATTACCATTTAACTGTAGCAATACTTATGCAAACATGGCGTTTCCTTGCTTTAAACATAAAACGTCTCATAACTGACTTCGTTATCTTTCAAGGTTTCTCACGCTATGATATTGAACTCATTTGGAAACAGTCAGGTATAACATTACCTTTTGAAGAAATTTGGGAAGCATATAAGTCTCTCATCTCTCCTCGTTCATACCTTGAGATTCATATCATGACTAATACCATTAAAGTCAAAAATATTCCATGGGAACGACCAACATTGTTTTAAATCTTATGCTTTAATTGACTGATGGTAAACAAATTCCATGCATCTCTGTCGCCATTTCTGTTAATATTTTTGCTGTCATTCATATCATCCACTTCCCCATCCGTTAGCTTTTGAGGATATGCGTTAGAATAGCTGTTCTTAAATGAAGGCTTTTCACCTTTGAGAGCATAAACTCTATAACTTTCTGCATACTTTATGTTTGAACCTCCTGAGCCATCATTGACATAAATTTTTATAGGCTTCCACCCTTTGTTCATATTCCTGCTTCTTCCCTTTGCTCTTTTGTTCAGTAGTTCTACATCTTTATACACAGCTCCTGTCTCAGTGAATTCAACAATATTTTCATTCGTTAGCTTTACATTCAAACCCTTGTCGAGTATATTGTTCATTTCATACATATAAAAGGTTTTTATTCTATATGAAATGAGAAGCAAATCCATCTTACTGGTGCCGTTAATGTTCCAATTGAACCAACATCAAATGTTGACTCACGAACGACAAACAATATTGTCATAAAGAACTATAGTTCGGAGTGTTTGAAAGAAAAAGAACCAGATCTTAAGTCGGTGAATTTAAACACAACTTCAAACGCTAACGCTACATCAGATGTTAAGTTAGAGTATCCACCACTGGACCAAGTTCTTTCAAGAGAAGCCAACGACAACCCTTACACAAATGTTCAAACAAATCCTTCAGATAACGTAGACCATTACCTTCTTCAGTTATACCAAACAATTTTACTCAAAGACGATAAGAAGCTTTTGACAAATCTTATAAGTAAGAACCAAATAATTCTAACAAAGGAGGACCTTGAAAATATTATATCACGAATAACAGGAAAGCAATGTGTCATTGACTATCTCGACCCTGAAATCGAATGCTGTGGTCAAACTCCAATATTCATGAAAATAGGTAACATCCGCATCATTGAAACACCAGGTACTCCAGGAGTTGAGTTTAAGTATAAATATTCGAACGAGTATACAAAACTATCTACTTACTATAAGCTTTGTTTGAAATATGTTTTAGTAAATTAAAGCAATTTGTAATATCTATCCAAAACTTCTTCAACAGTATCGAACTCATCTTCATAATGCAAACCTAATCTTATTGACTTGGTGCAGTTTTCACTAACACAATATTTTTCTGTTCTCTTGACTGACATAACTAACTCATTTGTTTCATCAAACAGCAACAACCAAAGTTCATGACCTAATACATAACATTCATACTTTATATTTTTAGCTCTGAGTTCTCTTGTAAGCTGTTGCATTTAATATTTTCTAAAAAGTCAACTTCAACAGTCATTCGCACTGGTGCCTTCAGTTCTACAGGCTCTCCTTGAAAGTCAACAAGTCTGAATTGCATGTCTTTCAAATTATGAGGACTAATGCGAACCCATTTACCTAAATGAGTTGCTATGACAGGAACGTTTGGAATGAACATTGAATTTACTTCATAACAGAAGGATTTATATTCTACTGAACCTTTACTATTAACTCCTGAAATACCTGTGACATTAGCTATTTTTGACTCAATGTACAAACAATTGCCATAACATACGTATGGAACAGATTTCATCTCAATCGTTTTGTCAACACTTTTCAAAGGAAATGTCATATGGTATGCTCCCAAAAGAAGTTGTACTCTATGACTCATTCTTGGTATCTTAAACTCCTTTCGCATAACTGAACTTCAAAACTCCTGCAATAAGTTTAACATTCATTAAGTTTTCTCCGTTATCCTTGTTTATTGTAGTATTTATGAGAGCATTTAACACTCCAGCTAATGTTTCCATCTTATATTCTACATTATTGTGAAATCTTATTTCGTGCTTCTTTCCATCTATTTCAAGCTCCATGAAATCTGTTTCGTCAGTTATAACGAATGAAGCAATAGTATTAAGTCAACCATTCTGAATGCAAGTGGCTCATTCTGTAGACCTAAGTTTGTTTGTAGTTTTACTGTCCCGTATTCGTTTGGGTCTGTACTTTGCAAATAGAACAACATTTTATTCTCATTAAAATATGAGTATAGCTGCATATGCGTATGAAGCTGACAGAGCTAAACGTTTATTTTTGGTCAATACTCTCTCACACTTACTGACAAATATATTGTTATCAGTGATGGAAATACCGAGAAATACATAACATGGAAGGACTATGAAAAGTTTGACCCCATTTTAACTCCATGCACTATGCCATTCATTGTAAATGGTGAAGTTGTCATGAAGAACGACACAACAGTATATAAGTCTGTTCATGAAGCGTTAGAATATATGTTGAATTATAATCCCGAAAGATTTGACCCAAGCACTACGCCATGTACAATGCCTTTTATTAAGGATGGTGAAATCGTAAGAGTTCCGGATTCAACGGTTTACACAGCTGTTCAAAACAGTTTACAAAACATTTTAGCGAATATCTTTAATTCAGAAACTACAGAAATAAAATTACCATATATAACAGATGCTAAAGAAATTAAATCAAAAACGACAACATTATTTACGTCACTTAATGATTTAATGACTTATATCATTAATATTCCTGCACCAACTATAGCATTTGATCCAAACTCGACGGTTTGCAGTGTACCTTTCATAAATGACAGTTCATTAATTACTTTAAGGGATTCGACAGTAAATGAATCATTAAAGGCGTCATTAATGAAAATCATTGATTTTAATTCATTCATGAATACATATAATTCATTCATTAATGTTTCATATGCTTCTAAAGAAGGTGAGCCAAAAACTATCGATAAAGCGGTGTATGAAATAAAAGCATCAACGACGAAATTGAATTCGTTAACTTTTGACGGTGATAGTTTCGTTAATGACATAACATCGGGGAAAACAATTTTAACGAAAGAATATTTAAAATCTCATGTTAGTGAGTTCGTTGAAATTGAAAAAGAAGGTGGAATTAAGTTCGATCCACTGAATTTCATTTTCAGCTTAGCGAATGCGGGTGTTAGTTTCGCTGAATGGACAACTATACAGAGTGAAATAAATGCAATATGGACGTTTTTGGGGTCAAAAGGGAATGGGTGAGCTTGTAAATGCTGCAAGAACATTAGGTGAAACAGGAAATTTTGTAGATGGTTTTAAAAGACTTGTTTCAAATGTTTTAACAAACACAAAGAAATTATTTAGATATACCGTACATAACGGACGGATTTTCGAACAGATAGCAACAAACCCTCCGGTTATGGCTGCGTTGATGATGGTTAGAGATATAAAACCACGTAACGACGGGAACGAAGAACATGAACAACAGGATACTGGTCGGGTTATTCGAGACATTAAAAACGTGTATCCTGAAGTTATTGATTTATTTAGAGGAGTTAATGATTCAATTTCAAAACATTCTATAACCCTCGATGAAGAGAATAAATTAACAGATTATATATTCGTCATTATTGCAGAATTAATGAAGAGAATAAATGAAAAAGGAATTGGTGATATCATTAATGTCAGCGATGTAATGATGAAAAGAAATTTTGACTCATTATTTACAAAACCGAAAACAGAATATAGTCTTTATGACGTAATTACCGAATTAATGAAAAAGATTAATGATAATAAGAGTTCTGGCGGAAGAGTTGAATTAGAAGTGAATGATGTTAATGAGAAATTAGCCGAAAAAGCAAACAAAAATGAGCTTTTAGCTCTGAGTGATAAAGTCAAGAACCACGTTCATTATATAACTTCAGACGAACAGATTATAACGAACTACCATGGATATTTAACACGAAGTGATGAAGCGAAGACAAAAAATGTTAATGAAAGAAGATATAAATACATTCGTGCTAAAGGTTATGACATAAGCTGTACTGTACAGTATGATGTAGCTAAAGCACCAGAAGCATTTGGTTATACCGGTGAAATTTATGCCTCTACTTTCAATGTTAACGGTGTATTAGTTGAACCAAGATTTACTTTGAGAGTTAAGTCAAAAATAACGTTTGAAGATGCTATTAAAAGTAAAGCTGACAAAGTTGAACTTGAAGCAACGAACAAAGTTTTGAAATCTCATAAACACAACATCTCCGATATAAATGAACTTCAAGCTACATTAGACAGTAAAGCCGACAAGAACCATACACATAAATCCTTCACTACTGTTAGAGCAGACGACATAATATTGAACTATACCCTTGGTTCAAGTGCACCTTTAGAGAATCCAAGTACAAGCGTAAAAGATACACTAAACAATTTAGATAACAGTTGCAGGAATATTGAAGGTCATGCCAGAAACTTTGAAGCACATGAACTACCAGCAATGTTAGATAAGAAAGCCGACAAAACTTATGTAGATGAAAATTATGCAAAGAAGTCGGAAGTAAATGCTGCGCTTAATGGAAAAGCCGATAAAGAGCACGTGCATGAAGAATTTCAAACAATCAAGATTAAAGAAATTAAGGCATGCATCGAAATAGTAACAAAAACAGGAAGAGACGGTGCAACTGTACAAGAACAAAGAATTTATCCTCCTACTTTTCCTAATGGTTTAATAACAAACAATATAAATATTGTAGAAGGCAATAAAACTATAAACGTTAAACATGAACTTCTAACAATGAAGGCCCAGATTCTTGAAACCATATATCCTATAGGCTCTATTTATACGTCAATGAACTCAACAAATCCGGCAAGTGTTTTAGGTTTTGGTACGTGGGAACAGATTGTAGATAAATTCCTCTATTGTGCGAACTCTTCAAAGCAAACAGGTGGTTCGAAGAAAATTAAAGAAGCAAACCTTCCACCGCACACTCATACAGGAACTACAAACACAACAGGTAGTCATTCACATTCAATAACAAAAAGAGGTTATACAAATCTTGCAGCAGGTTCGGATAGACAGGGAATGCATAGATATGATATTTCAAGTGACCCAGTAGATTCAAGCGCAGGTATTTTCTGTGGAACCGCAGGAAATCATTCACACACTTTCACAACAAATCCAACAGGCTCGTAAGATTACATGCCACCATTTGTGACTATATTCGCATGGTACCGCGTTCAATGAACTCGCTTGAGCCTAGAATAAAATCTTTTTTACATAAATGAGCTTGAAAGAAGTATTCGAACAACATCCATGGAGGTCATTTAAGAAGTTCAATGAAGCTGCAAAGAGTTGGGGATTTACTAACAGAGCTGAAGTTGAAAAAGTTCTTTGACAAAAATGTTGTACATCAAACAAAAATAAACCCTTACGACTACTTTTTACCAATTTACTCCAACACTCCGACGCATACCAATTTGACACTCTCATTCAAAGCAGAAAAGGAGGACATAAACCATTCCTCATCTTCATAAATGTTAACACTCGCAAAGCTTTTGCGTATATAATGAGAAATAAAGGAACTCGTGAAGTGTTAAGAGTTTTACAAAAGTTTGTAGCAGAACATAACCCAAGTACTTTAACATCAGACCAAGACAGTGCATACCTCAGCAACGAAATCACAGAATTTCTCATTAAGCATAACATAACTCACTACACTACTGAAGACCATAACCATAATATTTTAGGTATCATTAATCGCTTCATAAGAACGCTCAGAGATTTAAATCAAGAGCGAGACTTTACCGAAGAAACAATGAAACATTTTCTCGAAGTATATAATTCCTCAACAAATTCTACAACAGGACATACACCAAATTCAATGACACAACAACAAGAAGAAAAGTATATACAAAAGAAACGAAGCCAAACACAAAATATCAGAAATTCAACACAATTTACCCTCATTCCTGGTACAAAAGTTCGTGTAGTTCTTGACGACAAACCGTTGACAAAGAAACGTTTAAGGTTAAGTCGAAATTATTATATCGTAGACTCTACGCAAGGTAATGGATATCTTATAAAAGCTGCTGACGACTCTATTGCGTTTTATCCTCGTCATAAATTAGTCGAAAGTAGTAATGGCAAACTTGCTGAAACCATTGACGAAGCAAAGCGAGGAGTGGTTATTGAAATACTTAACTATAACATAAACGATGACACTTATAAAGTAAGATATGAAGGAGGCGTTGAAGATGTTATACCATCTAAGAACTTGAGAGAGTCAAAGCCAACACATCTGGGACCATTAGAGCGGGAGTACTGGAAAGACAAAAATAAGCCAGAAAGAATAAGAAAATTCTTCTAAACTTTTTCATTAGATGTAAATCAGACATGAACGAGAACAGTCATGATATCATTAATGGTACCATTTATTTTAACATAAACTTTATTTATGTTAGAATGTTAGATCTAACACGTTTTCTAACCACTTTTCTAACATGGTCTAAAACTCTCGAAAATCATGAATTTTTGACATTTCCTTATGAAAGAAAAATAACGCTAATTTTTTTCTAAGAAAAATTTTTATCTTGTATGTAAAGATATGATTTCAACAATAGGTTCTACAACACTTCAAACAACAACTTCACCAAACTCTTTAGTTATGAATCCAACATCTATGTTAGTAGAGATGAAAAGCTTCATTCCTTCTTCATATACTTTTGAGACAGAAATACAAAGAATTAAGCAAGAACTTTTAACAAGTAATTTAGACTGTAGTGCGAAAGATGAAACAAATGAACAGTATCTTTATGACATGCAGGATATTATTGACCATTTACCCAAATTGCCTGAAATCCAACAACAAAAGCTCACTATTCATGAATTCGATGAAATAGAAGTGAAACCAACTGACTCAGTAGAAATAAAGAAGTTCATACGTAAAGTAAACTATGAGTTTCTAGGATATCATTGCAACCATAAAGTTATGGACAAAGATTGCGACATGGTATATAAGAACATCTCTGACATATATAAATCTGGGGAGTTTAAGACATACGACAACTTTGTTTCATTAGTTGCTGAATGTGTATGGCAGATAAGAGATAAAGATAAAAGATGTAAAATATGGAATGGACAAATAAAACCAACAACTTTTGAGTTAAAGAAAACCATTGACGCCTTAGTTGTTCTAGCAGGTCAAATTTCAATGTATAACGCAAAAATGAATCCGCAATGTTCAAAATGTAAAGCAGCAATGAGGAAATATAACTACTCCGTCAAAGAGATAGAACGTATGAGAAACGACTATGCTGACTTAAAGAAAGAAGTAGAGAAACCAGCAGAAGATAAAATGGACATGTTAGCATTTCTGAACAAAAACTATCCAACTGCTGACGATTTCCTATTATCTGATGTCAAGAAGAAATATAAAGAAACCTTCGGCATAGTTAAAATTTTTGATATCCTTCGTGAAGAAATAGAAGCTACAAAACTGTTTAAAGTCATGAACCATCGCAATATATACCATGTAAAACGCTTGTAAATAGTTTTCTTCGATGTTAGAAAAGTGGTTAGAAAACGTGTTAGATCTAACATGCTAACATAAACATTATTTTTTCTATCTTAAGGAAATTCACGAAAATTCATGAGTTTTGACATTTCCTTAAGATAGAAAAAATAACGCCAATTTTTTTCTAAGAAAAATTTTTATCTTGTATGTAAAGACAGTAATGTCAAACATTGAGTTTGAAACAGTTAGAAAGATAGACAATGACACCAAAGTGGTTAGAATAGGTGATTTAAACGTAAGATACTCAAAGAAATACAACAAATATTCTTTGTCAGACATTATAACACCATCTGGAAAGAAAACAAACGACTGGGTTAGAAATGCTTCAACTCAGAAAATTTTGACAAGAAATCCTGAGCTTATGATATCAGTAGCATTTCATGGAACAAGAGCATATCTTATAGACAAAAGTCTTATACCAATAGTTTTGTTATGGTTAGACCCAGTTGTTGGATATAACTTCATAACTTATGGTTCATTCGATACGGAACGTTGCAGTGAAGGCTTACTTTACATCGTTCAGAAACCGAAGGACTTCAATACAAAGAGATATAAGATAGGAAGAACATATAATATAACTCAAAGATATGACAGTACAGTCAATAGAGTCAAGGTTGTGTTCGTTAATGATATGAGAGCTGCAGAAACAGAACTACTTGAAAAGTTTGAGAAAATGTATGGTGCTCCCATGAAAGGTAAAGAAACGTTTGAAGTAGATGAGATAGATAAAGCTATAAAATTATTTGACGAAGTTGCTGAAAAATACATGTAAAGCGTTTATTTTTGGTCTTTTGTGAAAGTCAGAAAATAACGCTAATTTTATTTTTATTTATTTTTTTATTTTGTATGTAAAGACAGTAATGACAACATCAGAGAACACAACAACAGTTATAGTCCATGAAGCTATAAATGAAGAATACGAATACATACAGTATAACAAACAGTTACGTCTCATTCGTTCAGTCAAAGATGACATGTACCAAATGCAAAGTATAATGAATGCTCTTCGTTCTACAAAGCAAGCATATCATTGGTTTGAAAACCAACAGACAAAAGAACTTTTAGAAGAATTTCCTCATATGATTGCTTCCCTCGGAAAACCGAGAGAAGAGATTCCGTACGAAAATCGCAAGAATTTGGCACCTGGTTTGAAAGGTTATTATGTTCATAGACTTTTAGTAAACGCTGTAGCAATGTGGGCTTCACCTCGTTATGCTTGTTATTTTCATGATGTTAGATGAACTATATAAAGCAGAACGTGGAGAGATGGAAAAGAAACTTCAAGCAAAAGATGAAGTCATTGAATCCAAAGACAAAAGCATACAGAAAAGAATACCACGTTCAGTACCAAAAGGAAAGGAAAAAAGCTATAAGTATATGATTTACGCTGAAGAGATGGAGAAAGAAGAAGATAGAGATATGGTTATGTTGCATTTAGTGAGAAGAAACAACAAGAGCTTTTATGACCTCGCTAAAATATATAAATCTGACAGAAACTGGTTCTATCGTGAAAACTTACCGATTTCAATGACACCGAATGAGCAAATAAAGGAAATTGTCAAAAGTACTCTTCCTCAAACACACTATGATATTAAAGGTTGTACAATTCTTACCTTCAAAGAAGACTTACCATTACTGAAGGAAAAAATAACAGAATATTTCGATAACTTCAAAGAGGAAGAATAAAAAAATCTAAGCTAATTTTATTTTTTATAAAATTTTATCTCATATGAAAGAACATGAATTTAGAATATTCGGAACTCATGACAGAAGAAGAGAACGAACAACATGTAAAAGATTATGCAAAATTTCTGAAGGTATATAAAGCTTATGAAAAAGCGTATGAAAAGTTTATACATTGGGGAATTGTTGTAAAATATCGATATGAAGACTAACCAAAAATATATTTTTGTTCAAATAACGTCAGGGTCAATTTCTTCAACCATTTCACTTCCTTCGTCAATGTCAATTGAAGCTTCTTCAACCTTTGGTAAGAATTTCTGTATAACATCTTTGTTCGTTATTGTCTTCAGAGATGAAGGATAATATTTCACATTTGTTTCACCCTTCTTATATTCTTTCTGTTCGGAAAGATTCATAGCAATACTGAAGAAGTCAATGTTAGAGTTCTTTATGACAGTATAATGAGTATCTTTGACATTCACGAAGAAACCCTTTTGTTTCAAAACTACTGCTAACTCTTGTGAAGTATAACGTTTGCGGTCAATGACAATAGCTAATGGTCTGACATACTGACCAAACTTAGATTCTTTCACAAACTTCTTGTTAAAGATAACATTAACGTTTGAAGCACCATTGAACTCATTCTTGATGACAGTAGCGAGAGCATTGTATGAAAAGAACTTGCAATCTTGCATGTGTTTCATTAAAATAAAAATATTAAATTATTTTGAAAAATAACTTAAAAAATCTAATCTAATTTTTTCAAAAAATATTTTTTTATTTCCTACTAAAGATGTATCGGAAGTTGTCTAAGTTAGAACACTCGGAAATAAAACAACTTCTTACAGAAGCTAACATAGATGTTGCAAAACATTACGCGACAAACAAAAAAGCACTCGCTGACATCCTCAATGACTATAATGGTGCAATAAGTTATGATAGAATTCATGAGTTCATAAAGCCGCAACGCGGCGAGGACGAAGTCCATGCAAGAACTTTTCCTTTAAATGACGTTGCTATTGACTTATATCATAGACGTTCAGTACCTCATGAAGTAAGAAGAGAAATGTTTGACATAACAAATGCAAACGTTGGTGAAACAAGAAGAAGAGACGACACACTGAAACAACAGAGAAGAGAGATGTTTAAAAGTGCTATAGAACAAGTTCGCAAAGCTAACGATGTCATTCGTTCCATTGACGACAAACCAAAAGAAGGTGAGAGATGGTTAAAGAAAGATGAAGAGAATAGGAAGAGAAATGTGAAGTCAGGCAATAGACTCATTGACTTTAACATCGAAGCTTTAGATGAACCAAACAGAGAATATTTACACAAACATTTCGGTAAGGTTTTCATGAGACTCTTAGAGAAGATTAAAATAAACTCACAACAGAGATGGATGGTATGTTATAAACTTGGTGGAAAGTATGAATGTTCTACGTTAAACCTCAATAATATTGGAACATTACTACATCAGCTCTTGAAGGAGAACTTTATATCAGAGATAGAAGCAAATGCCGCAGGTATTGTTGAAATGCACTATGACTTCTTCTTGACAAACATAAAGAATCTTACTGAAATAAAGATGTATGATTTAAGAATATGAAGGCTTAACGATGTCAGATGTAAAGAAAGGCAAACCAAAAAAGAGACCATATAGAGATGAAAGCACACTGACAAATGACCAGAAAGCCATTTTGGAAGCTCTTAAGCAAACAGGAAACCCAGCACTTATAGAAAGCTTTTGGAAAGATAATGGTGAAAAGAAGTTTTATAAGAAGAGAAGCGGTCAATTCTGGAAGTATCTTTGCACATTACCTATAAATCTTGAACGCTACCAAATCTTCAATGAACTGAACAAAAGAACTGCAACACTTATGACAGAAGACAATTGTTTCGTTTATGCTTGCATTCAGGCTGGAGTAAATGAAGAAACTATTGACCACATGAGAGAAGTCATTCGTGTTAGAGACTTTCCTCAAAGTAAAGTACAAGAAATTTCTGACGCAACAGGTATAGCATTTAATGTTACCATTGGTTACTTCAATGACTCAAGATATAATGAAATAAAGAGATACATACCAAAAGAATGTGAAACTGTTCGAACTATTGACCTACTTCTTGTTGAAGACCACTACATGCTAAACGAAAGACTTCCAATGACAACATACTTCGTCAGAAATTACAAAGAAATTTGAAGGAGTGTGGTGGAATGAACATTGAGAAACAGATGAAAATATATACAAAGAGAGAGAACAAATATGTAGTTCGTTATGATAGAACTACACCGCTATGGGATGTTATGAAAACATTGTGGGAGTGCAAATATTTCGAACTATTTCTTATGGAGAACTTTTCACATATACGACTGACTTATATAAACAGAACCTTGCACCATTTAAAGATTTGACATATGCTCCAAAGTATTGTGTACAACTGAAGAAGAAAGCAGAGTCAAAAGAAGTAAATAAAAATAAGTGCAAGTTCATTCCTGAGCACGTTTTCTTTGCTGACTTTGAGTGTAGTACCGATGGCTTTCATAAAGCTTTTAACATATGTTACGACAGTGAAGATGGTTCAGTGAGTGAAAGCATTTGGGGTCAGAACTGTGCAACAGAATTTTTGGAACGACTTCCTGACAAGAGTTTAATATATTTCCATAACCTCAGCTATGATATAAACTTCATCTTAAGACACATGACAGAAGTGAAAGGAACTCCCATCATTAAAGGTTCACGAACAATGCAAATAACTGGCTTATATAAAGGAAGGGCAATTATTATAAAAGACTCTTACAGTGTTATAAATAAGAAGCTTAAACTATTTCCTGCTATGTTTAACTTACAAACAGGACCGAAAGAAGTATTTCCATATAACTACTACAGCAGTACTTTGTTAGCAAATGACAACAGAACTGGTGTCATTTCTGAAGCATGTAAGTTTATCCAGGATGCAGATACATTTATGAAAAACATAGATTCCATCAAAGGTTGCAGAATAGATGAAAACCACTTCGACTTAGAAAAATATAGCACATTTTATTGCAAACAAGATGTAAGAATTTTAAGAGAAGGTTTTGTAAAGTTCCGCAATGACTTATTGAAAGAGTTTGATTTAAACGTTTATGACTACGTTAGTATTTGTTCAATTGCTAACAAATTATTTGAGAACAGAGTGTACTTCCCGAATGGAAATTTATATGACCTCTCAAATAAACCAAGAGAATTTATTTCGAGATGCATTCAAGGTGGAAGATGTATGTTGTCAGATAACATGAAACAAAAGAGTGAAAAGAAACTCATTGCTGACTTCGACGCTGTTTCATTATATCCATCAGCTATAGCAAGACTTTATACTTTAGAAGGAATTCCAAAGGTTATGAAGGATGAGATGCTAAGCACAGAGTATCTCATGAGACATTTATTCGATGACGACCAAAAGGAACCCATTGGTGAAAAGTTTATGTCTGGCTTCTTTGTTCTCATTAAGATAACAGAGATTGGAATACATAGACACTTTCCTTTAATAGTTTGTGACCCTGAACTAAATCCAGAACTTAACGTTCCCAGAAGTTCAAACACTTGCTGTTTAATGTATGTTGACCATATAACATTACAAGACCTCATAAAATATCAAGGTGTCAAATGTGATGTGTTGCAAGGATACTATTACGATGGAAACAGAGATATTAGAATAAGAGATGAAGTAAAGAAGTTGTTTGAGTTAAGGTTAAAGTATAAGAAAGAAGGAAATCCTTTGCAAGAAAATATAAAGCTCATTCTGAACAGTATTTATGGCAAAACTATTCTATCTCCTATTGAGTCAAAAATAACCATAGTAAATGACAAAGATGCTATAAGATATGCCATCAGAAACTACAACCATATAGTGAAGTTCGAAGGTTTGGATGGTTCAGATAAAACTATTTTCAAGCTAACGAAAAGCATTTGCAGACACTTTAACTTCTGTCCACTTGGTGTAAATATTCTATCAATGTCGAAGAGAATAATGTGTGAAGTATTCTGTACTGCTGAAGACTTAGGAATGGACATCTTTATAGCGATACGGAAGTATGCATCTCTACAATGAAGATATCCCTCGTTTAGCTGAAGAGTTTGAGAAACGTTATGGAAGAGTTTCTCATTGGTAAAAACCTTGGTCAGTTTCATAGTGACTTCGCAGAAATAACACCTGGAAAACAAAGTTTAGCATACAAGTCAATATTTGTGGAAAGAAGACCTACATAGACTTACTCACTAACGATTTAAATGAAGTTGCATTTCACTGCAGAATGAAAGGCGTGAAGCAAGATGTTATTGCTTTAACCGCTAATGAAATGTTTCCTGACTCTGTTCAGTGTTTCTATGATGAAGATAAAAGGTTTAATGGTTCCGCAAGGAAAATTTGACAAAGACTCTGAGTTCAGTGTTATGAAGTTATATAAAGCACTTTATGACGGTCAAGAGATTGGATTTGACTTATGTAAGTCTTCTAGTCCTTGCTTTGCTGAAAAGTTTAACTTCTCAATAACGACTAAAACAAGCTTTATTCGTAAGTTGAAGTTCTGAGGTCATTTATTTTTGTCAGCAATGAGGTCATGAATGAGGTCATTTATTTTTGTCAGAAATGAGGTCATTCGTGATAAAAATAAAGCTAGCGTAGATTTTACAATACTGCGATGGTAGAGTTTAAGAGTTGTGCTTCAATGTAGAGACAGTCCTTATGGTCTGGAGGTAAGAACACTGGGCAGTTATGGTCATGAGTGGAGAACATGTCTATCCAAAACTCACGATTGAAGCCAGTTAATTTATAGTATTTAGGGTTAGGAAGTGGTGAAGTTCTTGTATGACCAATGAACTCATTTTCAACTCCCTTACTTTAAGTTTGAATATAATATAGCTTGCTTTCTATCCCAAATGCCAGGTGTTACAATCTTTGAAAATTCATTTTTCCTCGGAAGCATTGCATCATAATTGAAAACATTCTTGAAATCATCACTTGGTTCAGAGATTTGAAATCTTATACGTAATGGATTTTCTTTCTCTTTAGCTACTTCATTGAATGGTGAATATATAACAAAACTGACAATCATGTGTTCCATCTTCATTTTCATTAAATTCATAATGAAAGTCTATAAGTTGTGGCTGACTACCTTCTTCTTTCAGTTGTGCAAAAACTCACGTAAAGGCTGTAAAGTTTTGTACTTCAATGTTGAACTTTTTCTCGAACATTTCATTGAAGGAAATCATACATTCTTGTAAAGTTGTATCGTCTTTAAAGTATTTGTATATGTGAATGTTTTGGACACTTAAAGACTGTTCGTCATTTTCTATCTCGACTTGAAGTATAAAGTCAACTTTCCTAAATGCACGTGTTATATACATAGATGTTATGCCAATGTACTTCTCTTCATTTATGTTCACAATCCAGTCTGTTGGAAACTTAAACGTTACTCTGTTCCCCTTTATTTTAACGTCAGGGTTTTCACTACTGAACGCAACAGATAAAGGTATTTGTCTATACATTTAATTCGGATAAAAATAAACCATTTACTCTTTCTTTGCTTCAGCTTCTTTAGCTTTTGCTTCAGCTTCTTCTCTAGCTTTCTTCGCCAGCAAACGTGGGTTCTTTTGTCTTCCAGCAGCTAATGCAGCAAGTTGTTTTTCACTAAGTTTTCTCTTTGGTCTCTCTGGCTTTTGTTCTTGTTTTTGTTCCTTCAGTTCGGATAAAATTTGCTCGCGAATTTCTTTCTTCAATGCTTCAACATCTATGACCCCTTGGGTCTTGTCCATATGACTTGTCTGAGTTATTTGACTGCAGATAAAAAATAAAATTAAAACTTTAACCGATGTAAAATGAGCTTGTCAAAAATCAGAGCGAGAGTCTATTATATTAAATGACGCAAGAGGAATACAACATCCTTTCTATTATGTAAGTCAGAGTAAAGATGGTAAAATATACGTAAGAAAAAGAAAGGTTCCATTAGCGAATGCAGAGAGCGACAACATTAAGGTGTATGGCACCGAGGGCGAAGCCCATATAAAACCTTCTATTCAAACTGAAAAGTCAATAGAACAAGAAGAAAGAAGCCAGATGTTCTTTCAATAACGAACCAAGAGCTTATTGCAAAGTTCGTGAATTTCATTGAAAAGCAAACCGAGTCAAAGAACCCTGACCCACCAGTGAAAGAAGTTGAGACAAAAGAGAATGTACAGTTCATTGAAAATGTCAAGAAACAACTTCCCCCGAATGCCAAGAAGAAGAGTGAGAATAATGAAGTAAATAGATATTTTTATCCGAAGTAATACATGCAGAACGAACAGTTAAACGAATTTACTCCAGCAGAGCATATTCATCAGATTCGCTCATATTTCGATATCATAGACAATGCAGTTCAAATTGGTGACACTAATAGAAAATATTCTGACGCAAGATTCCATCACAACCTGGAACTGCTAAAGATAACACATGGGTAACATTCAATCTCGCACCTCCTGGTGAAAATATGTTGGACCTTTACAATACATTCATTACGTATAAAATGGAAGGTCAATTTATTGCAGATAAAGAAATTGGTTCAGGTTCCAATAAAAAAACCACCAGGATTTTGGATTGGTTTCGATGACGCTTTCTATGCAGTTGCTGGATATCAAATCCTTGCAAATGGTCGTATCGTATATTCTCAAGACAACGCAAGAGAAGAAGCATATATAACTTCAAACTCACAAACTACCGAACAAATAAAGAAAGTAGATGTTTTCTCAAAGACTCGACATGAAGATGTATGGAGTCATTCGGAACATGCAGAACAGGACAATTGTAGTGGTCCAATTACAGCAGGAAAATCATTTGATTTTAAGCTTCGTTTAAGAATTCCTGTTAGAAAGTTTTTACCATTAGAAGCTATAAGATTTATTCCTGCATTTGCTGGTAACATTCAGCTTAAAGTAAAGTTCAGTAGCGACGCATTACAATGCACATCTATATCTGTAAATGATATCATTGCTTTCAATCCAACTCTTAAAGTTGCATTTGCTTCAGATTCAAATCCACGACAAATAAATTTGTTCCATGGAATGAACCATTCACTATGATAACGAAGGCAATAGAAGCTAGTGGAACAGTTGCTATTACAACTGTAACCAGCAACTATTTCGAACAAAGATGGATTTTAATGAATGTTTCATTCATCCAAAGTCATTCTCTTTAGACCCTAACATTTATACAGAACTTGTAGAACATTATACAAACGAGGCTTTATGTTTTCCTGTTAAAGTTATGGATTGGATTCATATGGACGGTTCATTCTCAAAGAATACAGATAGTTCAAGTGCAACATTTACAGCAGCTTATACGCCTATTAATGTTAAAAGTATTTGGGCACTATTTAGAAAGAAAGACAACTATTATGTTAATTTTGAGAACCCTAAGTTTAAATATCTTCAGCTTTCCATGGGAGCTTATGGAAATATGCCTGCAGAACCTGAAAAATCATATGGACCTGTATTTTATGAAATGGTTGCGAACGCTTGCAATACAAACAATGATATGATTGGATTTAATGAAGATGTTATGAGGTCATTGGTGGATGATGGTAGTGTGGAACATAAATGGGATAGCTATGACAACACACATTTCTTATGTGGTTTTCCAACAGAAGTGGACTTTTGCTTCCAGCAAGGTCAAACATCTACTGCTCCAATAACATACAAATTGTCTGTTAAAGGACCTATTGAACTAGCAACTGAAAATGTACCAAAGCCACTTATTGGATTTATGAGGGATTGTTGCTTTGCCATTCAGGTAAGACAGTCAGGCATCCCATAATAAGATTAGATGACTATAACTTAGCTGCGGACGACAGTGAGGAATAAAGGATGAACGTTTATTTTTAAAGCTTATAAATGAGTTCTTCATCAAGCTCTCGTGAACCTTCACCATCTATGAAACAAACTTTACCAAACGATTATGGAGCACCTATTGAATATTTCTTACGAGCTGTACAATGGCAAAGAGCAGTCTCACCAAGGTTAGGTGTTCCACCAGCTCCTGTCAAAAATAGCATTTGGTCAAGTCCTTATATAAGATATGGTCTCCCACTAGGTTTGCTAGTTACAGCAGGAGCAGTAATGATGTTGAAAAGAAATAAAGCAAATGTTGTAAATAATACTGAAGTAGCTGAAGTTAAACAAACTCCGACACCATCGCCAAAACCAACGCCTTCACAAACAACACCTTCAATGACTCCTGAACCTATGGAATTACAAACTCCTGTTCAAAAGTCAACTCCAAAACCGACTCCAACATTTAAACCAGAACCTACACCACAAATAAATCGTAAAACTCCTGCGTTTCCTTACTGAAAAAATAACGTTATTTTTATTTAATATTAAAATTTTTATTTGATTGAAATGACGACTAAAGTCACTGAAGCAATGAAACAAAAGTTTTTGGTAGAATACATTAAATCAGGAATTATTCCAGAAGGTTTTTACATTCATACTATGAAGGATGGTAGAGTTCAGTTTAGAAAGATAAAGCAAACCATTAGATAAAGAAGGAATTTTGAGAAAGATTAAACTTCATGAGGACAACATTGCTGAACTTAAGAAGAAGTTAGAAGAGTTGGAGAAAGCAGACGACAGTGAGGAATAAAGCAATGAATTCAACAGGGTAGAAATGAGGTTAGAAATCGGGTTAGAAATCGGGTTAGATCTCACCACTTCACCTAAATTTATTTTTGTGCTATGTTTTCATACGTGTGAGGGTGGTGATATCATTTATTTTTTATTTTATTTTTTAAAATTATTTTTATTTTATTTGGATGTAATGACAGAACAAAAGCAACTCATACAAATCAAAACATATAACAAACATACATTTAAACATTTATTCTTCCTTCCTGAGCATAACATGTTCTTTCAAATACATCCGAGACCAGTTGACTTTTCATTGACTGTTTATAAAGATAGAAATAGTTATATCATTAAACCATACGATGACGAAGGTAAGTTATGTAAATTGTACGTTAAGAAGTTAGAGAAAGTTTATGGCTTCAAGTATGACTACAATAGGGTTAACACTGATGATGAAGATATTGAGGAAAATTTATGAGAACATTAGTGAAGTTGTTAGTGAGAACGATAGTGAGGTGAAATTGTTGGCGGCTTTGTAAAGTGTCAAATTCACAAGTATTGGGTAAGGTGGAACGCAGTGCCACCATACCCAAGACTTGTATACTAACTGGTGATACCTTGGTACATTTATTGAGCTCGCATAGATATTTAGAGAATAGTTGATATTGATGATGTATTGTGCAGGACATGATGTATAAATTTATTAAGATTATTTAGTTAAACATTGTCATCTACTTTTGATGTGTTGGAGATTTCTAACATGTTTATAGATTTTTGGTTTTTTAGTAAGGGTTCCACATGCAAATGGATTTTACGTGAGAAATGTGGAAGTATTTCAATTTTTGATTTTCAATCATCTCATATCTCGACTTTGGCCCTGGGGATTTCCATAAGATTCCATATATTATTAGAGTATATGATGTTATTAATTTGTGCAAATTTGCAGGAAAATTTGTGTAAATTTGGTCAACTTTACTGCACAACAAGAAAACGCTGCACGCCTGTAATTCTCAATAAAGTTTTCGTTCTTTATCATTTGGGAAATCCCTTGCTTTAGTTTTGAACGTTTGTATTGTAATAAGTTTTATTCTGTTTGAGCAGACTATTGTATGTATTATTTCAATAAAAGTTAAAAAAAATGAAATATCAAATTTCAAATCAACCAAATTTAACAAATAGATTATATGCGATTTGATTGAAATACATTTTTGAGCTATACTATTTAAGTTAAAATCAGGTTTTTACTAAAATAAAAATGAGAATAATATTATATAAATGATAGGAATATTTGTCATAGATATAGCTTAAAGAATAATAATAAATCGATTTGGCTGATTTAAAAATGCATGAAAAGGTTTATTTGACTGTAAAAGATATTTTTTTTTGAAATTTTTGAAAATTTTCGTTTTTGAAATAAAAAATTAAGTGAAAAAGTATTCAATTTTCACTGATTCTCTTATTTTTGAAATTTGCACAGTTTTTCTCCTAAGTCTCAAGTTAAGCTTCTTATGATCTATTCTATCTATACCATAAATATGAGTCCTTTTCTCAGGCTAGAAATGGTGAAGGTATACTTATATATTATATAAGCATATTGAAACATCCCTATTATTGACTTTGCCAATTTAGGTCCATGAAAATTCAATATAGCACAGTAAAGCCGTAATACCCATTCAAAATCACTGACAGTAAATTCACATACGATAAATATATCGTCAAAAATAAAAAATCATATACACATGATATAAGGTCGATGAAAAAAATTTGCGTTTTTAAAAAACCGCCGTTTGAGAGGAAAATTGAGAGCCCCGATGTATACTTTTTGACATTGTCAAAAACTTTGAAAGGACAAAAAAAATTTAGTGTCAGAAAGTTTACAAATGTATACTTTCTGACAAACAGACTCTCAGAAAGTACTCAAACTGCGGTTTTTAATTTCCGCACTTTTTTTGGCGACCTTATAATCTAAATTTTTAATTTTTAACTCTCGAAAAATTATTGTATGCCCCAAAATTTTCGATTAAAATTTGCATCAGAATTTTTTTAATTTTGATATTGTAGCAATGAGTCTTTGTACTCGTTGCCCATGTAAAACATATCGGATCCTTAAGAAGTTTTCATAGCGATGATGATACAACATACTTCTGGTCTCAATATTACGGGAAACTCCTCCCTCCACCTGTTATTACAGGTATTAACCAGAATGTCATTGCAACAAACAGCAAATGCTTCACATACGTCTGCAAGTTCATTGAAATTCAAGATCGTGCAGTTAAATTCGAAAGCGTTCAAGATTTTTCTATCTTACTTTGCGAAAACGTTTTTACAGAAGGTCCTGGCACTATTTACGTTAAAAGTGATTACGAAAATGATATTGTTATTGATAAATTCTGTTCATCCGAAAATATTTCTCCAGCAGAAGGCCAATTTTTGTATTTCTTTGGCAAAATCAACAGTACAATCCTCCAAGGATCAATTATTAATGGAGGAGATAGTTCAGTAGATGAAATGATTTACCAAAGTCAAGGTTTTTCTTCTCTTTCAAAAACAAACATTTCTAACCGCATATCAAAACAAGAACCAGCTTTTTATTATTACTTTCTACAATCAACAACAAATGTTTCATTTTGTAATTTTGAGAATTTAAAAGCTTCTGATTGGATAATCACGCGGTTCATTTATAGTGCAGGAGTATTTGAACGAAGTAACTATATAAACAATTCACAGACAAACACAGGATATGGATTGTTTACTGCTGGAAGTAACACAAAAGTTGAAGTTTTTGATTCAGTTTTCAAAAACAATCGACAAAATACGAAAAGAAAGTTATTTCGCACAGATTCTGGAGGACAAATTTATGATGATGATTCCATTGGAGGAACTGTTTTTAGCTCATCAAAGACAACATCATCATTTGATAATAACTTAAAGTTCATTGGATTAAGTTCATGCGAAGGAAATTTAGTACAAACCAAAGAAAAGAATATCTGCTCAAATCAACCAAATTATTTCTTTTTAGGTAGATATTTTATTCCTTTTTTGCTAAACATTATCTATATATCTTAATAAATATAATATTTTATCGACAATTTTCAGAGATATCGAATCAAAATTATAATAATATGATATCCATCATTTGCATAAGTTGCAATGAATGTGTAATCAAAATTACATCATTTTAATATTCATCTGTGAAATTTTTTAAAGATGAATATTATGAAATTTTTAAATTTGCTATTCTGAGAGATATCAAGACGTAATTTGAAGAAATTTTGAAATATATCTGTCCAGTGCAAACCAAAAAGCTGAACCAATTAGATTTATCTAAATTTTGAGATGAATGAATTTGAAACTGAGCAAATTTTATTTTTTTTATGAGATTAATAGCAACCAATTTACAATATAGTGCCATAATTTCAATGTCGAAATTTTGAATTTACAAGATTTACAATCAAAGTTTTTCATTTGAATGGGAAGATTTTTTCCCTATAAACAATAAAATTTCATTTATACCTAGATACTTTTAATCAAAAAGAATTCATGTTCAATTTTTTTGAGGGCGAAAACAACGATAGAGAAATTGATAGTTCTTGAATGCTCTTTCGATGTTTGCGATCCTAATCAGACATAGACGCTATTATTGTAATAAACAGAAATTCATCAAAAGTGACAGCTCTCAATTTTTTGACATTTGTAAATTCTAAATTGAATGAGAAAAATGAAATAATACTAAGCATAATACAATATTCTAGATTTAATTATAATTAGGAAAAAGTTAGTTTTGAGAGTACTTTTCATAGGCATATAGAATGAAATCTTCTGAAAAATAATATCACATAAACTCATATTATTTTCTAATATATAACTATTTTATATAAAAATCAAATTCAATGATCTTAAAAGCGAAGGATAAACCTCAAAATTTACGAATATAATGAGTGGGAATATAATGCTTATCTATCATAAAACCATATGAAATATCAATTTTTGCTTTACGCCTAATTTTTGACGACAATTAGCAAAAAATGTTAAATGTTAACACTCAGTCCATTTGAATATGAAAAATAAAATTGACCTTGATTAAATGTTTTTATTTATCATGCAATTCTTCTTGCGACCAAAGATTTGAATAAAATTTCAAAAAATAAGATAGCTTAAAAAATAATATACGGTAGTGTTTACTAATAGATGAATAGTATATAAATTCTATTAAAATGGATTTGATCCAAAAAAATATATAAAATTTGATCATAAATAAAATCGTTTTAAATTACTTCTTCATTTAAATTATAACAATTATTTTTGGTTTTATATTTTTTTGGATCAAATCCATTTTAATAGAATTTATATACTATTCATCTATTAGTAAACACTACCGTATATTATTTTTTAAGCTATCTTATTTTTTGAAATTTTATTCAAATCTTTGGTCGCAAGAAGAATTGCATGATAAATAAAAACATTTAATCAAGGTCAATTTTATTTTTCATATTCAAATGGACTGAGTGTTAACATTTAACATTTTTTGCTAATTGTCGTCAAAAATTAGGCGTAAAGCAAAAATTGATATTTCATATGGTTTTATGATAGATAAGCATTATATTCCACTCATTATATTCGTAAATTTTGAGGTTTATCCTTCGCTTTTAAGATCATTGAATTTGATTTTTATATAAAATAGTTATATATTAGAAAATAATATGAGTTTATGTGATATTATTTTTCAGAAGATTTTGTGTTCTTATTCAAAATTTTATTTTTTTATTAAAAAGAATCTTTACAAAATATACATTTACTTTAATTAATATTTAAAAACGTGCTCTATCAAAAGTTCCAAAAATTCAATATTTTAGCTTTTCTGAGGTGTCACTTTTGATGAATTTCTGTTTACAACATTATCTTGGATAAATTCAATTTTTAAGTACTGAGTGTCAAAAATTAACTTGAATGAAAAGGAAGCACAACAAAGTAATTAGTTCAGTTTATTTTCTAACAAACAGACAGTTTTTCAAATATAGTGAACACAAAGTTCGAACCTATTGTAATTAGCCAATGGGGAAACAAAATATCTTCAAAAAATAAACTTTTGAAGCGTTTTTTTGTTGCCACATCATCAGCATTATATGCCTGTAAGACAGTAGGACTTGGGCAAAATGCAAAAATACTTCACGTTTATCCTTGGGTCGATCTTTCTGGAATATCTTATAAAAACTCATGCAATTTCAAATTTACTTTCTCGAAACAACAAATTTCAATCGCATTAGAAGAAGATGAAGCTTTTTTCAAATCAGTTATGCTATTTTTAAGATCATTTTTACCAGAAAATCATATATTAGCAGGCCAAATTGAAAAACTATCCAATATAAGTAAATACACACCAGAAATATACCAGCCACTTTACATTCTAATTAGCTGTTGTTTATCTTTAGAATGTCGACCTTCAGAGAAACTTATGCTTTCTTTCAAGAATCAATTACATCACGGTCAACGACTTAAAATTACACATGTTCCTTCTAATACTAAAGTCACCGATGCTCTTTGTCGTTGTTTACAACTTATGCGAACAGTTGACGAACTTGTTATCGGTGGATATAATTTCTTTTCATTATACTCTAAATTACCATCTATTCTTAAAGAGAATTCTAAGATCAAAAGTCTTACAATCATCGAATATTCCAAATCAGACGATTTTTCAGAATTTTTGAAGTCAATCCCTAAAGATGGCTTAGAACGACTTAAATTTAAAGATGTTATCTTCCAAGATTCAATGATATCAGGATTTGAAGGTATTAAATTACGATATAAATTTAGCGAACTTGTTTTTTCAGGATGTACATTCACCGAAGAACAATTTACAAGACTTATTGGACTTTCAGATTCAATCTCACAACTTAGTTTGTTTTCATTGTCACATTTGAAATTAGATTTTGAAATTTCTAAAGATATGATCAATAAGATTGTCAAATTACTTTCTAATTCAGGTATATATTCACTTAAACTGAAAGATTTGAATCTTAATCTTTGTGACATTTTTAAGTTTTTATCAGATGACAATTTATACATTGTTGACTTAGATTTATCACAAAATTATTGTTGTTCTAATCTTCCTGATGACTTCTTCCTTCCTTCTACAGTCAACGAACTTACTCTTCGCAATGTTAAATGGCAAGGTGATTCATTATCAAAATTTTTATCTGTCCAACCATTCAGATCAGTTATCCGAGTTGACTGTTCATATGCACGGTTCGATAGTCCTCCTCCGAAAGATCCATTTTCTACATTAGTTGAAGTTCCTCCTTCAACATTCATTGAATCATTTATTTGGCATGAAAATCCTATTTCTTCTAAACTTTTTCGGTTCCTATCTAACTTTTCATACCTTCATGAAGGTGTTTTCCAATCATGTCCTATCTTAAAATCCGATTCATCCACAATATTGGAATCCATGAGCAATTTCATTCTGAAAACAAAGATTGCAAAACTTGCTATCATCTCTACTATCCAAAATTACAAGGATAAAGGTATTGAAGCACTTAAATATTCATTATCACAGAATCAGTTCTTACGTGTTCTTAATATCTCAAACAATCGTATTGGTGATCGCGGTCTTATGATATTATTAGACATTCTTATCCAAAATCAGAACATCACTAAAGTTAATTTCTCAGGATCTGATTTGTGTGATCCATCATTGTTTATTCAGTTTGTTCGTGATATTACACAACTTCCATCATTAGTTCATGTCTCAAAACCACAAAAAGACATCTCATTCCTTTGTTCTAAGTCATCTAAAGGCTACGAAACCGAGTTGAACATGTTGTGGAACAGTTTGACAGAAGCAACTATGCGAAACACTGAAAACAACAAACCAGACAGCGAATCTAACGCTAGTTCAGTTTTCGCATCGCAACCAGTTGACTCGATTTCTACACAGGAATCATTCATTTTCACATATTTGGAAGCATCATGGGAAATTAATGTCGAAGTTGGTTATTTCAACTTCGATGTCGAATGGAACTGTCTTCGAAAGGAATTCGACTACTCAACTATCATGAATGTTGAACTTCCTAACATGGATGCACTTTCCAACCAACACCAAGACAATTTAATTGATTTTGAACCTGTTTAATTTTTTTTTAAATTTTGTTTTTAATATTTTTTATATTAATTTTTTCATGATCATGTCTACATTATTTAACAATAATATTAGAGCATGACAATTTGCACTATGGTTTCATTACTCTTGTTTGGCTGACAAACAGAAGATTGTTCCAGCAGTTGCCACTTTGTATGAACAATACAGAATTTCCTTTTCCTTTTAAATTATAAGTAATTGGTTTTTCAAGTCGGTAAAAGTGAATTTCGACATTATTTCTTGGTAGAAACGGCTCAATTCGCAATTTTGTGAACGTTTATACCCCAAAATAAGGTAAAATATAACTAATGCCACTCATTTAGCTATCATTTTCCATTCAAAAAGAGTGATATATTTCCATACACACATAAAAAAATCGTTTTTCATGGGAAATTAATTTGATTTCCCGACTAAATCTAAATTATATTAAACGATAATTTCAACATTATTCACATGAATCAACACTAAGAAATGCGTATTGAACAAACTCAAACACTTAGAAACTCTCTTTGGAACTTCAACGAAGTTTTTCCGATTATTACGATGCTGATGATCCTACTATTAAAACTGAAAACGAAACTATATCAGGAAGTAATGGCAATTACTACATTAATCATGCGATATTTTCATTCCATTACCAAAAAACAGCAATTTACCTTAATTCCAATAGCAAAGCGTTACTCGAAACATGCACATTTTACAATAACAGCTCCACAGGATATGGTGGATCATTCTATATCAAGGAATCTGACTGCGCCTTAGTTCATCTTTGTTTATCACTTTCATCAACTTCTAATTATGGATGTGCATATCGCATTGAATCAAAATATGGTAGTAACAAAAAAAATTATGCATTTGAATGTTCAGTTTCAGAATGCTACGGAAAAAGTCATTCTCTTCATCATTTCCTAGGAGATATCCAAGTAAGTAACATGAATACATCTTATCACAAAATTACTTCTTATGCTGGATATTTAATTTCTTCACCAACAGGAACAGGAATTATGAATTTCACAACAGCTTCGAATTCGTCATCTACAAAATATGCTGTAATTTCCAATACAGGTAATTTTAAAATTACAAAATGCAATTATTTAAACAATGAATTTAGAGCAAGTAATTGGGCAATAATTTTTTGTTCTACTTCAATTAGATATTCAAATTGTTCATTCATAGGAAACAAAGGAAACTATTTATTTTATAAAAAAACAATTATTGATAATTGTTACTTTGATGAAAACAATTTCACTCAAACTGTAAGTAATAATCCAGTTACTTTTGAATCAATTCAACCATTTGATTTCCATATATCTCATTATTCAACAGAAAAATGTTCTGCTACATATTTTTATAATAATCCTCTAAATTTAGAATTAAATAAAAATAAATCATATAAAAAATATGAAGAAGATGAATTAGATCTCGAAGACATCAAATATATTATTAATAATGTTTATAAAACTTCATTTGTTGAAGCAGTAAATTTATCTTCATTTAAAGAATAATTTATACCAAATCTTAGATAAGACATTAATATTTATGAAATGGTAGTTCTACAATAGAAAGAAAAATACAGTTATCTCCTGTATTTTCGAAATCAATTTCTCTATTTTGTTATTGTTGACCGATATTGAAAGCTTTACAAAATATGTTCTATCAATCTTCTTCAAGAATTACAAAATAGTTCGAAAAATGAAAACAGCTTCACTTATTCGAGATAAATAAACAAAATAATTCGAAAAGTGAAAACAATATTCGCCATATTTTGCTAAATTGCAAATTTTGGAACATTTTTAATATAAGACATATAGTTGACACATTGATTTCACCCATATACACATTATTGTGTTTTAAATTAAAAGCAAATTTACAAATGTATGCAAAGTATTTACTTGGTATTGCAGAGACTTCTGAAGAAGGTTTCAAAAATTATATTTAGATTATATGATTGATGACAATTATATGTTGACAAAAATGCAAGGTGGAACAACATAAATAAAATTTCTTTATTGCTATGGGAATATCTTTCAAAGGCTTTTGACGCATTGCAAAATTAATAAAATGACAAGGAGATAACAATATGAAATTTATTCATAAAAAAATTAAATTGTTTATTTGTCTCGAATTAATGTTAAACCTTTCGATTCATATCCAATTTCACAAAGATTACAGACAGGACAAAGTTTTCCTTTGTATCTTGAAAGGAATGAAGATTTGCAAAGAGGACAAAAAATTGATTTAGTGCCTCGGTAAATAGGTACAAATGAATAACAACAAAGTTCGAATGGAACTTTTTCGTTGTAATCAACTTGAATTGAGTCAACTGCTGAATTACCTGTGACTTGAAGTGTTTGAAGTCCCAATTCGCGAAGTTTGTCATTTCCAAAATCAATCATTCGACGAGAAATACAAATAGCACAGTGATTGCATTTGTGTTTAAGACTCTGTTTGAGTGCACTTCGCAAACAAATACTTTCATGAATTGAAAGCAATTTGCAATGTGTCATGTACATAGAATATTCAACTTGTCGTTTGATATTTGATTCTGTCTTACGTGTGTTCTCTAATAAACAACAAACACAGTATTCTTTACATAGTGAAATAATTTCAATGACTTGTTTCTTTTCATCAAGTGTATGAACACTACAAAAACAACTATACAAAAAAAGTTCTCGACATTTTGAAATGCACTCTGAAATTTTTGCTTTCGTGAATGAATTAAATATATTGTTTTCAATTGAACTCAACAATAAAATATCATTACATTTGCATGGAACAAAAACACCACGGAAAATAGAACTAAGTGGGAAAACTAAATTTCCATATTCTGTACGCAAATATGAATGACATGAAACATAAAATTCAGGTAAAAATTTTCTGATTTCTTCGTAATTTTTAAGACCAATTTGTTCTTTCAACAAAATCAAACAGCCTGAGAAATCACCGCTCTTAGCAAGGTCACCGGCAACATTGCAATTATGAACCCATTGTTTCTCAATATTTTCGCCTTCAACTGGAATTTCAAATATTGATTGTTGATAATCATTTCTATAATCATCTTCAATTTGAATGTCCCATCCTTCTTCTTCAATACTATTATCATTGTTCTTGTTATCTTCGTCTGATGAATTGTTCCAGCCTTCAATGTCTGATGAATAAATTTTACTGTGAATTTCATTTTGTAGTGTATTAGAGTTAGTTTTAGTGAAATAAGTTGGCCAATTAGATTTGATCTCTTTACCATGAAAAATATGAAGTGTAGATGACTTAGATGTATCAAATAACGATGGATTGAATTTGTCAAGAATTTCTTTAAGTTTCTCATCATCGTTGTTCCATAAATATAGCAATGGATTTCTTTCTTGATCTGACAATGAAGAAAGATCTTGTTGACGACCACTGATCATGTAAAAGAATGCAAGTGATTCATTGTCGCATGATTTCTTGTAACATGTTTCTGCAATTTCAAGGTTACCTGAGTTTAATGAGACTTTGGCAAGATTTTTGTAGCATTCTCGGTCATTCAAAAAATTACAAATAGAAAATGCTGTATAAATGTCTCCACAAAGAAGAGACATCTCAAACTTTTCTCGTTCTGTTTTAGATGTAATTTGTGAGATTTCGTACTTATGAAGATTCTTTGATGTATCATGGACGAAATCACCTACAAGAGATGACGCTGATTGTCTGGAAACACTTGAAATGTCATTATTTGTCATGCTCTTGATGATATGAATCTCTTTAGAGTTCAATTTCTTAAGAAATGTTGTTCCATCTCTTGTAACAAACCACATACTGTCAATAGATGGACCAATCAAGTAGTAAACGGTTGGTGTTGTGTTGATGATGCCTGAAACGTGGCCACAAAAGTATTTAAGATGATGTTTCGTAGTATATAAAACAATATCTTCGTAAAAACAACAGCTTTTGATTTTAGTATGTTCTGTGAATGATTCAATATATGAGAAATCTGATTTAGCATAAAATATTGTTGTATCGTTATGTGCACAGATATATTCCTTAGATGAATCAAATTTGACTGATTTAGCACATGGAATATGACATAGAGAAATTTCTTTCCCTTTGATTGCATCGAAAACAATTAAATATTTTTCGGTTGAAATGAATATGTTTCCACCATTGAAGGTGAACAAGTCTTGTGCATTTTCAACTGGATATTTACGAGTGTTTCCTGTTAATGTGTCAATAACTTCTAAAAAATCTCGTGATGTCGACAAAAATGCAATAGTACTTCGGTTAACAAAGATTCCTGAGTTTCCAATAAATCGTTGGCGTGATTTAGCATTAGAAAATGTTGTGAGTTCAATAAAGCCTGTTTGTCGACCTTGAATGTTATATGAAACAACAACTGATGTCTTAGTAGGACACAATGATACTTTAGACACATTATCGTGTAATGAAATCTTTGTCTTGTTAGACTTGTTAGTTGTATCATAAACTAATAAGTGATTCTTTGTAGACCATGCAATAGTTCCGCTAACAAAATCGTTGAATGGACGTTCCTTCCAAAGTTTGATAACATCAATACCGTGACTGTGACCTATTGCTAAAACAGAAGATTTATGATTACAACAAATAGATAAAACTTCGAGAATAGGATTGTCGTATTTAAATAATTTCTTATTTTTAAAAATGTCATAGAATGAAATACAGCCGTTTTTCTCTGAATAAACAACAAGATTAGATGGATAATGGAAAAAGCCGGAAATAATAGGAATCCCGTTATTTGGGATAGTTGAAATTCGAGTAGCAGAGAGTCCGGTGACTTGCCAAACTCCGATTGTAGAATCTAAACTGAATGAAACAAAAATTTCTTCTGATTTATGCCATGAAATGTTAGTAACAGAATCTGTATGTGCATCTTCAACCCAAATAAAGTTGCCAATCTGTTCGAAATTAAGTAATTTAGTTTGAACTTCTTGAGTGTGTGATGAATTGTATAAATTATTTAAATCACTCAATTTCAATGTTCCGTATTGATTTCCTATTGCAACTAATGTAGATTTCGGAGAGAATCTTGCTGTTGTCACTGCACAAGAGGTAGATTCAATAATAGAAACGCAATGTCTGCTTTGCCAGTTATAAATTCTGGCTGTTCCATCACCGGATGATGATAAAAGGAATGGGTATTCGGTATGAAACTCTAATTGATAAATAGAATTTAAATGATCTGAAAACGTAGCGAGTAACATGCATGTTTTGTAATTTATGATATTGATTTTGCCTGATGATGTTCCGTATGCAAAGAATGGCTGTGTTTTATGAAATTCTAGACAGTTGATTTTGTGTTTTGATTGTGTAATTTCAACAATTTGAGAGCCAACTTCGTAATTTATGATTCGAATGAATCCATCTTCTGTTCCATATAATACCCATGGTAGAATTGGATGAAAAGCAACTGCAGTTACGGCTCCAGTAACTTGTTGACAAATTGGATGCATTGCTTCTGTCACTTTTTTATTTTAAAAGTCTTTGCGCATTTATCTCTGCTGGACAGAGAAATAGATTCAATTTGTTTCAATAATCTCAAAATAAAGACAATATAGAAAGATTTTAGCCCATAATTTACATTTAAATCTTAATTACTATCATTTCAAAGAAGCAAATACACGCGGAGCTACAAATGGCAACAGTTTAAATAGATGTGCACTTAAACAGCCTGAGAAAAATAATTTTCATTTATTCTGTTGATGAAGATAAATTTACTGCTTCAACAAATGAAGTTTTATAAACATTATTAATAATACATTTGATATCTTCAAGATCTAATTCATCTTCTTCATATTTTTTATATGATTTACTTTTATTTAATTCTAATTTTTTAGCAGAACAAAAATATGTTGAATAATGAGATATATGGAAATCAAATGGTTGAATTGATTCAAAAGTAACTGGATCATCATTTACAGTTTGAGTGAAATTGTTTTCATCAAAGTAACAATTATCAATAATTGGTTTTTCATAAAATAAATAGTTTCCTTTGTTTCCTATGAATGAACAATTTGAATATCTAATTGAAGTAGAACAAAAAATTATTGCCCAATTACTTGCTCTAAATTCATTGTTTAAATAATTGCATTTTGTAATTTTAAAATTACCTGTATTGGAAATTACAGCATATTTTGTAGATGACGAATTCGAAGCTGTTGTGAAATTCATAATTCCTGTTCCTGTTGGTGAAGAAATTAAATATCCAGCATAAGAAGTAATTTTGTGATAAGATGTATTCATGTTACTTACTTGGATATCTCCTAGGAAATGATGAAGAGAATGACTTTTTCCGTAGCATTCTGAAACTGAACATTCAAATGCATACTTTTTTTTGTTACTACCATATTTTGATTCAATGCGATATGCACATCCATAATTAGAAGTTGATGAAAGTGATAAACAAAGATGAACTAAGGCGCAGTCAGATTCCTTGATACAGAATGATCCACCATCTCCTGTGGAGCTGTTATTGTAAAATGTGCATGTTTCGAGTAACGCTTTGCTATTGGATTCAAGGTAAATTGCTGTTTTTTGGTAATGGAATGAAAATATCGCATGATTAATGTAGTAATTGCCATTACTTCCTGATATAGTTTCGTTTTCAGTTTTAATAGTAGGATCATCAGCATCGTAATAATCTGAAAAACTTCGTTGAAGTTCCAAAGAGAGTTTCTAAGTGTTTGAGTTTGTTCAATACGCATTTCTTAGTGTTGATTCATGTGAATAATGTTGAAATTATCGTTTAATATAATTTAGATTTAGTCGGGAAATCAAATTAATTTCCCATGAAAAACGATTTTTTTTTTGTGTGTGTCCGCTAAAAAAATCTAAGGAGTTATATATCGGTCTTGAACTTTATTCGTGCATAACCATTGAAAAATATATCAATGTAAGGTCTTATAGCACAGCCAAGATCAATCATCATTTATTTCAGGCAGAATTGTAAGATCTGTTTCTCTCATCTTTGAAATTTGCATAGTTTTTCTCCTAAGTCTCAAATTAAGCTTCTTATGACATATTCTATCTATATCTTAAATATGAGTCCTTTTCTCAGTCTAGAAATGGTGATACCAAACATAAAAGTTTTTCAAAATTTTTTTGATTGAAAGACGTTTAAAAATTAATGTCGACCCTTCAAGAGTGCTTATATCAATCATTTTCTAATAGTAAAGACAATCAAATATCAAATAATCCAACAAAAGTAAAACCATATGTATATAATGCAATGCAGATTTTGGATTCAAACATGAAATTAAAGTTAGATAACCAACAAAAGCTTAATAAAATCTACGAAATTTGCGATAAATACAAAAGCATAGGAAATAAGAGAAAATTACCATCTAAATTACCCAATTGTTCAACAAATAATAATGTTAACGAAGATTTATCGCAACATGAAGTAGTATATAATGAAATAATGGAAAGGATTCAGCAGTCAATCTTAATGGGAGTTGATGAATTAGGATTAACAATGAAATTACCTTCAGAATTACAAAAAGAATCCATTAATTTGGAAGAACAAGAAATTCAAGATGAACACGCTCTTTCTAGTGATGATGAAGATCCAACACCTCGTAATGCAGCTAAAATTGCATCAATGATAAAAAATGATGCGAATAATGAAGAAGAAGATCACGAAAATTATTCCCCTAAAGTTAAATTACCGTCTCCTATGCAATATGATACTAATAAAAATGAAGAAGATAAAGATGAAGATTCTTATGACGAAGAAGAGTCTGATGATGATGTATTTGTTGAAGAAACAACCCCAACTAATATTGTTCATAGGAAATAAATCTGTTAATATAAATGATTTGAGAAAAATTAATTATTTTACAAATATTTGAATTTAATTGAAGTATTTATTTCATGATATGTTTCTAATTGAATTCCTATATAGTAGGTATTATAAAATGTGGGGACCAAGTTATTTGCAATGCAAATGTCAATTTTTGATATAAATAAATGTTAGTAGAAGAAGCTACAAACCAAGATACGTTTGTTTCAATCATGGAGTCTAATTTATTAGGAAAACTACAATTTTTTTTCCTCTATTCGTAAATATTTGAGGAAAAATATTCTTAATTAATGAATTTATTTATTAATCCGCTACTATAGAGTCTAAACATACATTAACTGCTTAAGTTTAAATGATATAAAGATATGTAAAAATATCTTTAAAATAATATGGACATCCAGTCCTTCATTTTATTATAATCAGTTTTATAACATGAAAGTAATATATTTATATTAATAAAAAGTTGTGAATTTATAAAATAACAAAACAATTTTATTAATTCATATTAAAGTAAGTAAATTCTGAGGAATTACAGGCACTTTCTTAAGGTATTCTATCTCCTGTTCCTTACCAGGTGTTATAAAATAGTCAGTATCATTCAGTTCTACGAAAACAGGCTTACTTTCGATAGAAGATTCAAGTAATTCTAATTTTTGTCGAAAATAAACTTGTGCTTTAGTAACATCCATTGCTTTTTTATATAACTGCATTGCATCACCTTTCTCTGGCTTCATCTCGAATATTGTACCTATATTTGCCCATGCTTCTATCAAATTCGGTTTAAATAAAATTGATTTCTGAAAAGCATGAAGAGCTTCATCATATTGGGCACCAAATGTATAAATAAGTCCTAAAGTGAACCAAACTTCAGCGTATTGTGGTCGTTTATGCAACAACATTTTGATACATTGCAATGCATCAATTAATCTATTGGCTTTGCACAAAAGACGTATAAGAACGTATTGTAATGATGATGAAAGAGAAGTAAATGATGAAGAAAAGCCAATCTGAATTGCTTTTTCGCATATTTCCATATTATCTGACAAAAGCATGATATAACACTGTTCTGTAATCAAATCTGCGCTTAAACCATTATCAAATTGCGATAAATAGTTGACGGCTTCTTCGTATTCTCCTAATAATAAGTATGATTCTGCAACTTCGATTGCTAACGTAATTTTGGAGGCACCTGATGATATAGATGCAAGTTTTAGAAATAATTCTAGCGATGATTTGTATCTTTTGACATTTCTGAGGCAAATAGAAGTTCTAAAAAGAGCATCGAATTGTATTTCGGCTGGCAATTACTGCAAATTATTTTCTATCAGTTCTAGTGCTGTTTCAAACATGTTGTAGTGAGTTAGGCAAATAAATATTAAATATTTCTGGAAATTTGACAATTCTGCTGAATACTGTAAACAACTACTATATGCTAATAATGCTTGAAAGAAATCTCCTGCTAAAAGACTTAAATTTCCGTATTTTAAATGGTCTTGTAATGAAATTATTCCTTTTTTTAATAATTCGTTCCTTTCTGAAATGAATTTGTTCGTGGAATCATCTTGTGCGTATTTTCTTACTTCTAGATAGTTTGAAATCGCAAAAGTTGTATAGATTGATTCATAACTTTGGCAAAATTCATTTATTTGAGACCAAGCATCAAAAACTGTTGAGTTAACAGTATCAACAATCTTATTTGCTCCTGAATGCAAGAAATGATTTAACCTGCTTGTGGTCAAATCAATTTCTGACATAAATGACAAATTTTGAGCTCAAAATCAATATCAGGCTACAGTATTCGATAACAAAACTATCTGGAAAAGAATGATTAGTGCAAGAAGATAGTAGTATTTCAATTCTTCACTGATTCATTCCATATTCGAATGATATTTTTTCACAATATTTCTCATTAGAGTGTATGTTTTGTGTGGTTGTCTTTATCATTACAACTTGCTTGGTTTTTGTGGGAACTTCAGTGATGAAATTTGAAGTCTCAAATATTTTATCAAACTCTTTATATATTGAAATGCGAGATCCAAATACGATTATATATTTGTAGTCATGGCAAGTTATCCTATTTGCATGATATCATATCGATTTGTGATATGATTCTTATAATTATCGGGTAAGTAATTTGTGTTGAGTAGCATATATAGAGCTATTGATTATAGTTTAAATTTGCCTCATGGACTCAAAATAGAAAGCTACGATTTTTAGCTTAGAAGTCTTTATTAAAAAATTAAACAAGTTTAAAGAACATTTCTTTATTCTAAACTTGTAAATTTGATAATCAAAAAGGAATGAAAGTGGGTATTAGAATATTTTATTTGATTATAAAATTAATAGATAAATGCTGTATTAAGTTGTACAATGCATGCTTAAGGGCACTGTTCAACTTCAATAGCACTTTTTCTCATTAATGCAGCAAATTTTGCATCTTTCATGCACCAAGTTCCTCCACCACGTTCCTTTTGTTTATCCTGGCGATTTATTCCTCCGATGCAGATATAATCGCCTGCAACGGCCCATTTGGAGTGATCGTTCATTCTTGTCCATTGAACGCCGTTTATACTGACTGTAAGGATGTTGTTTGAGTGGTATCTCGAACTGCAGTCGGATGTCATTGTTCCTGGTCCTCTTGCCCATGTTTCTGAAATTACATTTGTTTGGAAGGTTGGTGCAACGAGATCGTGGTACAAGTCTTGTCCCCAGAACCTGCATTTGGAGAATAGCTTGATAGAACGTGTCTTTAAATTGATATCTGTAACTTTCGTTTGAACTTGGCTTTCAATCCATTTTCCATCGATAACTTGTCGTAGATTTGGTATCTTAAGATCAGTAAAAGAAGGTGCATTGTAGGAAACTACGTATCCACGCTCAATTAACATTCCATAGGCCCAATCGTTGATTTGTTGATGAGTTAAAGATGTGCAAAGCATTGCTTGGCCAAAGTTAGTGCCAGTGTCAGGATATGAGTACTCAGTTGTAACTTTTGGATCATTTGGATAGCGTGGAACTGAATGTTCAAGGTAAAGACCATTATCTTTATCGAAAATAAGGACGCCCTTTTTGTGTGCATATGTGTCAGAGGGATTAGATGTTCTGTGTGGTGGTTGGTCCGAAATAATCATGTAGCCGACTTCAGGATTGTTAGAATACATCGGGGCAAGCGTGTTATACAAAGGGTTATTCTTCATAGAGCCGACATCAGATGGCGCCTCGGACAAACTGGTTGATGGATCTGTGTAAAAGAAGGCCATTCCAGTTGCATGGTTCGGGTTTCGATCTTTTAACGTTGGCATTTTAAATAACGCATACCAGTCTACATCATTGCCCTTGTTGTTCTTGCACTGTAAAGAAGAATATGAAGTGGTGAGTAGGAAATGTAGCATTTTAAAAAATGATAAAAATATCCAAAAGTGACAATACGGTATCTGAAATTGATGTGTTTTAAAATTAAAAAATATTAAAATAATATATGTGATAAAGAAAAAGTATATTTTCAATTGGCGGGTTAAATACCCGCACTTTTCAAAAAATTAACCTCTATCATATAATTAAATATTGTTCCAAATTTTAATGAATTTTTCATGAATAAAATATTTGAATTACATTGAAAATTAATAGCTTGTGATTTTAGATTCAATGAAGAATGACATGTAAATCTAACAAATATCTATCAAAACAAAACTCTAAAATATGTTTAGACAATAAAAATATACAATATATAAATTGAAAGGTTTAACTTTATTTGTCAAAAATTAATAAGACGTGAAAATCTATGAGCTTATACTTTCCTACGAAAATTGCACGATATAAAAAGTTCTTTGAAACGATCGCAAGCGATGATTACAAATGGAATATTAATGACACTATTTTCAATATATTTGGAGATCGAAATACAACAAAATATATTATAGATGCAATTAACTTTTTACATAACTTTCCTTCAGATGGTATTGATAAGGCAATGTATTTGATTCCAGAAAATATAGATCCAAGCAAGTATTTAATTTATTGCGTATTTAAAGGAAATATTAAGATTGTGCAGTTTTTTCTTGACTCCCTAAAAGAAAACATAGAATTTGATGATTTATATAGATATTTTCTTTTTGCAAATCAATATGAAGAAGAAATTTTCCAAACATTTATTGATATTAATGAATTATTGATTTATTATGGAAGTATAGAAAGTATGTTATTTTCTTTTCATGAAATTTATGAAAGAGGACAAACTATCATATTGGATGAAATCAAATATAATAATTTAATTAAAGATGTAAACATGAAAAGAGGATCAAAAACATTGTTAATATATGCATGTGAGAATAATTGTACTAATTTGGCAAGAGTATTGCTTGGAATGCATGCGGACTACAACATGAAAGATGATAAAGGAAATACATCAATTTTTTATTGCATCAAGAATGCAAACATTGAATTAGTTCATCATCATTTTCAATACTCTATTAATTTACTAGAAGAAAACAACGATGGAACATTTCCACTTGATATTGCACTCAAATCAAGTAACATTGAACTTAAAGAACTCGTTTGTAAATACTATTTCAAATTCAAAGCAAATTTCCTTGATGACAGAGTCAAAATGAGATTGAACACATATTTTTTAAGAGAAAGCGATACAATCAAAGCTGAAATTATAAGAATGTCATTGAAATATGAATCTCACCAGTTTGCAAAATACTTTTTAGAAATGGTCGAAGATAAATTTATTGATAAATACAATTTAATGGCAATTGCCTATTCAGAAATTGTTACTCCAAATGTTTTTTCTCCATGTAAATATAGTTTGATGCTAAATATGGTGTATAAGAGATCCACTGATAAATCAAAATTAGTTGAATTGGTAATTAAAAGGAAAGACGTTGAATTTTTCGAATTAATTGCATCACAGCAACTCGGAAGAAGTATGAATTTTCCATTGAGCGATGGAAGAACACCAAAAGAAGTCTTAATTGAACTTGCGCCCACAGACAAACGCTATCAAGAAATGCTTGATTATATAACAAAAATTTATAAAGTTAGAATACCAAATTGGGGATTATTAGCTCCTAATGTTCAGAACATGTATTTCAAAATATTGTCTCTTCATAAATTTAGAAACATTCCCAAAGAAAAATTATTAGTTTATCAATTTTTTCAATCCATATTTTTGTCTAATAAGGCAAGAGTTCTAGAATTTATTGAAAATGGCATGGACGTTAACGTAGTTATGGATGGAATTCATCCATTAATGATGTGCAATAATGTATTCATGGCAAGTTTTCTAATTGAGCAGGGATCAAAATTGGATTATAAGATTTGTTTAAACATCAATCCCGCTGAATTTAGACAAATTAATGCCTTTTATGATGCTAAATTTTATAATTCAGATATTATGTATCATACTTGGTACTGTCCAATTCATGCAATTGTTTTTACTGGAAGATTAGAAGTATTGGAGTATTGTGTTTCAACAGGTATTAACCTCAAATTATTAGATTCTCAAGAAAATTCATTAATGCACTATGCTGTAAGTATATCAGATGAAGTTGACCCAAATGCAAGCAAAGCAAGATACCTTTATAAAAAGAAAGTAAGTATTAAATCCAAAAATCTTGATGGATATCAGCCAATTCATTATGCTGTGACTTGGAATTACGGAGCTGTAAAATTCCTGATTGAAAAAAGAGTTGATCTTAACGCAATAGGAGTCGATAAAAGAATTCCACTTCATTTTGCAATTGCACATGGCACTCCTGAAATAGTAAATCTTTTAATGAGTAAAAAGATAAACTATGATATTCAGGATCATTTATTAGATTATCCAATTAACATGATAATGAATCAAAAATTCGATAATAACATTATTAGGATAATTGAGGTATATGCCAAATATGGAGCCTCATTAGACTATCCTTCATTTTCTGATGGTGGTCCCATTTTATTTGACTTTTTGAACAAACATGAAGTATTAAAATGCTTAATCGATAATGGCGCTGACTTAAATAATTTAAATAAAAATAGAGATACAGCCCTTGCGGTTTGTTTGAATAATAAGAATTTTGTAGGAGTCAAAATGCTCTTAGAAGGAGGTGCCGATATTAATGCAAGTAATCATGACACAAAATCAAATTTATATGAATGTCGATATGCATTATTAATGAAATATATTTTAAAATTTCATCCAACTCTTTATCTTGATGCACCAAAATATTATATTCAAATAAGATTTCTCGATGTAGCAAAAGAATTATTTAATGTTTAATGCAGCAATAAGTATTGGATCTTATGAAATGGTTGAATACATGATTGATAATGGATTTGACATAAATTCAAGGAGTATTGAGATGAAAACACCAATCTTTGATGCAATCGCATTGAATCAATTTGATATTCTCCAATTACTCATTAAAAGCGGTGCAAATCTCGAGTTAACAAATATTTATGGAGAAACAGCTCTGATGTTTGCATTATCAGTACTTTCTCGAGACAAGCTTCAAGCTCATTTATTTCAGCCTACTACTATTACAAACATTTTTGACTGCATATCTCACCTAATCGATAGCAATGCGAATATTCATGCCATAAATATAAATGGTAATGATATATTCAAGAATGCCTTACTTAATGGAAATATGTATTTCAAAAGGGGAAGAAAGTATGCTAGTTTATCAGGCAAAATAAATTTCGATGATTTGGAAACACTTCGCAAAAGGGCGAGAGAAAGTGGCGAAACTTTATTTACTTTCATCGTCAAGCATGATGAAGAAGTATTTATCAACTTTTTCGTGAGTGTTATTGGAAATGATCAAAGATTTCCTGATACCAATCAAGCAAATAAGTTCGGAGAAACACCTATCATGTGTGTTATTAAATATAACAAAAATCCTGCATATTTAACATTGTTGATCAGAGGAGGCGCAGATGCAGATCAGGAATATCAAGGAAAGACACCTTTACAAATTTGCATCGAGAACGAATACACAGACAAAATAAGAGCATTTCTCCAAAACGAATGTTGTGATCTCAACAAGAAGTTTGACAATGAAATGAGTTATTTCCATCTCGCAATTAAGATGAATAAGAAACTTTCTATGCGAGCACTTGCATCATATGTATTTCCAGATTTTGTTGACAAAGACGGAAATTCATATCTTCACTATGCTGCATTGTCTAATGATCGTGAAATTACATACATTTGTCTTCATGTTCAAGAGAAATACATTGTTTACAACAATGAAAACATGAGTCCATTGATGCTTGCATCATCAATCAACTCATTCCGATACATTGATCAATTCATTGATTTTTGCGATAAACACTGGATTCCTATCAAAGACAAATATCGATCATTAGTTCTTTCAGCAATTCATCATAATCCAGAATCATTTAATTCCATCATGACAATTATTCAACGTGAAATTACTTCTAGAACTTAACAAATTAATATTATTTTATAAATTTTATTCTTTATTTTTGAATCTCATTTTTTTTTCAAATTATTTAATAGATATTCAAATAACATTATTCAAAGGTACATTCACTAGGCGATAACAGTAAAATGGGATGAAAATAGGATAAATAGCATCCCTATATAGTGCCTAACAATATTTATACGGGCAAAAAAAATTTGGCTAGAGATTTGGCGAGTTATAAAAGTTAGAAAATTGAGAGGGATTTTTATTTTTGAATTTTTTTGGAAAGTTAAAATTGCGATTAAAAATCGATTTCCAGGAGAACTAAGCATCTCATCATATATTTAAATCGATAAAAATATTAAATAATAGTTGAATAGTATAACAACGTGAAATTATGGCCGAATCTACAGAAAAAATGAACATATTTGACATTTTTGAAAATTCATACGTTAGATGGTGACAGACTCATAAACTATACTTTAGCTAAGATTGATATATGGTTTCAACAACACATGGTTAAAATCGTAAAAATATTTTAGATTTCAAAAAGATATATATGGTAATATAATGGAACAAAGTCAACAAATAGCATGTTAAATATGTTATAATTAACTTTTTATTAGATCCAATAGTAGATATCGAATGGTTTCCAGCTTTATGGTTAAATATTTTCTTTTCGAGCTTCTCTTTAACTGTTGTATTAAGGTTGTAAATTTTTGATGCTAGAAACTATGGAATCTTCTTTGCTGCAGCATTTTTCTTGAGAGTTCTTGCAATTTCGAATAGATCTGCGCATTGTATGAAATGGGGGCTTTAAAATATCTTGAAAACAGAATAGGACTGCTTTTCCAAAGGAATGCTTACTTGTAAATCAGAGAGTTTCAAAATTGACAGCAAGATTATCATCATAACTTTCGATTTTGCTGCGAAAAAGGAAGACAAGTAATTAACAAATTATTTACTGTTGTTCATCAAAAGAAGAAAACTTTGATAACAACTAATGATGATAAAATCAAGCTATCTTTTAATATTTTAAATTGATAAGACATTCAAAATATTTGAATGGTTTAAAATATTTTCTTTTAATTTCTATAAGATATTATCATGATTATATAATAAAATTTAAATTTTTATTCAAAAAGGCAATATTTCAAACTTTTAATTTCAAAAATCTTAATTCTGCAATAAGTGTATTTAATTGTAGCAAATTTAATGATCTTTCGTCATGGTTAGCAATTTGGAACTCATAAATTAATGATTTCTTCAAGTAAAATTCTGCATTATTTCAAAAGTCAATAATTCTCTAGTAACTTTTCTTCAAACCCTAACCATTATATTATATGTATAATGGAGAATAATTGCAAAGAAAGATAGCCGAATTTACTGGGTAGTTCTTGTGATGCGAAATAATTGCAAATTAACACCTAGTTTTAACAGCATCAATCTCTTTTTGCTCTCATTTAAATGCATTCGCACACTTTAATTTTGAAATATAAGAGTTTTGGAAATTATCAAATTTATCTGCTCAAATACTATAGATCTTCATAAGTGTTAATAGAATCATTAGCCTTACATATAGTGTTTAATATAATGATGCACATTATACTGGGATTCATTCCTTATTCATCTAGTTATTATAAGATTTACAACCCCATGAAAATTTAAAATTTTGTCAAAAATAGTGAATGTACCTTTCATTATTCAAATCTATTTGAACTTTTAAGGGGACACTTACCATTTTCTGACATTCTCTCAATTTTTTGACACATAAGCTTTCTATCCCAATATTCTAAGTTTAAGAGTTAATATTTTTGGTCAGGAGAAACTAATTATAAATCACTATATAATACCTAATATGTCTGCTATACTTTTCTACTATTAAAATAAAGATACCAGAAAGTGGTAAGTGCACCCTTAAATTATCGTCGACAATAAGAAAAATGCATACTTTCTGACAAAAACAGTCTCGGAAAGTGCTCAAATAGTGGTTTTAAATTTCTGACAAGTTCCTGTCTTAAAATCCAATCATGGTTTGCCGTGAATTAAAAATCTTAAAAATATTGATTGAAAAAGGATCAAAATTTGACCACATAATATCAGTTACATTAAATCCTTCAGATTTTAGAAAAATTTCAATTGAAGAAGGAGTTGATTGGTATAATTCGGATAAAAAATATTATACAGAATACTGTCCAATCCATGCAATAGTTTATCAATGGAGAGTTGATCTTGTAGAATATTGTATCAAATGTGGATTGAATCTTAATATATTAGACTCACAAGGAAATACATTGATGCATTATGCTGCATATAGATCAGAAAACTTCAATAAATATCAAATTGCTGCGATGATTAATCAATATGCTTTAAATCATTTACCAAACTATCAAAATTCGATTGAGAATATTCTCAAAAAATTAGATTATGTTGACACAAGCAGCATAATTAATTCTTATGGAAGTAAGTTTGGTATCTTCGATCAAAATGCAAGTATGTTGAAATTTCTTTATAAAAAGAAACTAAGCATAAAAGCGAAAAATATTGATGGATTTCAACCAATTCATTATGCAGTGATGAAGAATTTCGAAGCTGTGAAGTTCCTTATTGAAAAAAGAGCTGATCTTGGAGCAATTGGAAATGATCGAAGAATTCCACTCCATCATGCTATTGCACATGGAACACCAGAAATTGTCAATCTTTTATTAAGCAAAAAATTGAATTATGATATTCAAGATTTTAAATTAGATTATCCAATCAACATGATTGTTAATCAGAAATATAACGGCATCATTATTTGAATCCTTCAGGTACTTGTAAAATATGGAGTTTCATTAGATTCCCCTTCATTTAGCGATGGCGGTCCAATATTATTTGATTATCTGAAAAACTATAATGTGTTAAAGTTCTTAATTGATAATGGGGCTGACTTGAATAAGAAAGATTTGAAACAAGATACAGCTCTTTCTCATTGCCTTTCTCAAAATAATTATATTGGGGCGAAAATGCTTCTTGATGGCGGAGCCAATGTCAATGAAAGTAATCATGACACAAAATCTAACTTATTTGAATGTTTCAATCCTAAATTTATGAAACTGGTTCTTGAATATCATCCAATACTTTTCTTTGATGCACCAAAATTTTATATTTTAAACAGAAGACTTGATGTTGCTAAAGAATTGATTAGATATTATCCGAAAGAAGACCATTATTTAATATATAATGCTGCAATATCCCTTTGTTCTTATGATATGGTTAAATATCTGATTGATCATAATTTTGATTTTGACTCTCGAAGTATTGATGGGATGACACCAATTTTTGATGCAATACGATTTAACCAAATTGATATTCCCAAACTACTTATTAATAGTGGTGCCAATCTTGAAAATACAGATATTAATGGAGAAACAGCTATATTGTATGCAACATCATTTCTTTCAAGAGGAAAATTTGGAAATAATCATTTGAATATGCCAAACATCAACAATATGAACGATCTTATTAAGTTTCTAATTGATTGTGATGCAAATATTAATACCGAAAATAAATCTCATAATAACTTACTCCAAAACTCAATTGTTAATGGGAATATTTTACTATATAACAAATTAAAATATCTAGGTATCAAAACTCAGCTCATCAACAACGAATCTCTAGACTCGTTACGCAAAAAGATAAAAGTTACTGGAGAAACATTATTTACGTATATTGTTAAGAATGACAATATAATATTCCTTGAATTATACAATTCTATCATTGTTGAAGAGAAAAAGATTCCTGACATAAATGTCCAAAATGTATCAGGAGAAACACCTATCATGTGTGTTATTAAATATAACAAAAATCCTGCATATTTAACATTGTTGATCAGAGGAGGCGCAGATGCAGATCAGGAATATCAAGGAAAGACACCTTTACAAATTTGCATCGAGAACGAATACACAGACAAAATAAGAGCATTTCTTCAAAACGAATGTTGTGATCTCAACAAGAAGTTTGATAATAGAATGAGTTATTTCCATCTCGCAATCAAGATGAATAAGAAACTTTCTATGCGAGCACTTGCATCATATGTATTTCCAGATTTTGTTGACAAAGACGGAAATTCATATCTTCACTATGCTGCATTGTCTAATGATCGTGAAATTACATACATTTGTCTTCATGTTCAAGAGAAATACATTGTTTACAACAATGAAAACATGAGTCCATTGATGCTTGCATCATCAATCAACTCATTCCGATACATTGATCAATTCATTGATTTTTGCGATAAACACTGGATTCCTATCAAAGACAAATATCGATCATTATTTCTTGCAGTAATGAATAGAAGTTTTGATTCTTATTATTCAATCTTGAAAATAATTTTATGTTCTGTTGACCCAAATTCAGAAAATACGAAATAGTACATGAAAGTATTGCGTTTTTATAGTTCTTTCAGCAATTCATCATCATTCAGAATCATTTAATTCCATCATGACAATTATTCAATATGAAATAATTTCTAACGCTAAGTCAAAGAATGAGAACAAACAATGAATTGTGTTTTTTATTTTTTATAAAATTTTATTATTTTATTGTTATAAAAAATTTTTTTAAGTGGAGTAATGATATCTAATAATTATATCATAAAAATCTCAAACATTTCTTAATGATTCATTTACCTGTTTCATGCATTTTCTAATTTTTTGCAATATCTATGTCAGTTAACCGTTTGAGCTTAAAATTGAGGGGAAAAAATGAAATAAAATGTTTATTTACAAGCTTTACATAAGGTTAATGTTAATGAAAAAATGTTTTTTGGAATTGAAAAGATGTTATTATGTTTGTCATCTTTTATACTGTTGGGAACTAGAAAAAACATTAATGGTTGATGTGAAGATGATTTGTTGTCATCATCAACAACATAGATATCAAATGAATGAAGACCACATGAAACAGAATCAAGAGGAACATATTCTGAGAACGGACGAGAATTACTGTCATAAATACTAAAAGATGCCAAATCTTTATATATATCTTCATCAAGTTTGTACTTTATTGTTAATGTTCCAATCTCATCAAGATCTTCAACAACACCATAAATATAAAACTTTTTATTGACATCTTTGATGAGTGTTTGATTATCTCTCGTTGTTAATGATATTGATGGTGAATTATAATAATATTCAAATGTCGATAGAAAAGTATTGGATGATTTATTTGATTCATCAACTGCAATGACTTTAAAATAATGTAATGATTCATTAAGTTCTGAAGGGAATTCTAAATCAATGGTAAATGGATGCTCATTAACATTTAAGATTTCAATAGATTTAATATAAATGATGTTGTTGTCAATGTAAAAGTTGATTGTTACATTACCAAAACCATCAAGATCGATAACTTTACCTTCAAGATGAATACTACTGTTCAAACCTCGATGATATATACCATTATCGAATTCGTCCACAACTATTTCTGGTGGATTGTATTCGTAATATAGAGTAACGTGTTCTTCGTTTGATTTCTTGTTACGCTCATCACAACAATAAATTGTGATCTTGTGAAGAGATTCAGATAATGTTGATGGAAATTCAATTTGTTTAGAAAAAGGGATAATGCATTCTGAACTCATTTCTTCTGAAGGTAATTCTGGATATAAATCTTCATCAAATTTGTAAAAAATTGAGATGCTACCTGTACAGTCTGAATCTTGAATTGTGCCGATGATATTTATTGATTTGTTTGTAGTTCTGTAGAATGTAATACTATTTTGTGTTGAAACAGAAATAATTGGTATTGAAAACAAATTCAAATGTTTTACTGTAGTTTGATGATAATTTGCCGAAGCTATCTTCAATCCAAATGAAAATCGTGTGATTACTGTCTATATTGTATTGAGCAAAGTATTCCGATGCTGCAATAGAAAATGCAAAATCATGTTCATTTGTGATTATAACATTTTCAATTTCATGTCGATCACTATTGTCGAGGACGTAATAGAAGTTGACATGTTCAGCATTGTTGTCGTTTGTGAATGTTCCTGTGACAGAGATATTTGTATCAACTTTATTGTGGTATACTGATTGCGGTTCTTTGATGACAATGAGAGATAGACTGTTGAATATATATGTGAAATTGATGGTTTTTCATTTGATATCTTAATATCTTCATCCATGCAATAAATCGTGATTTTGTGAATACCTTCACTCAAATATGATGGAATGTTGATGTTTTTAGTGAATTCATGATTTGAGGAATTATAAATTGTTATCGTTTGGAGAGGGAGATCTGAATGAGAATCATCAAAATAGTATTTTATTGAAACTTTATCACTTCCATCAAGATCGGTAACGTTTCCTTTGATTTCAATTTGTTCGTTGACCCCGCGTCGAAGTTCTTGATTGTTATTTGTTGTGATAGAGATAGATGGTCTGTTATGATTGAAAATAAATTCATATTGTAGATGCTCTGATTCTATTAGAGTAGAATCAACTGCCCATATATATATTTTGTGAGATCCTTCTTGGAATGATGATGGAATTTGAATTGTGAAATTAAATGAATAATTTCCATTTTGATCAATGATTTCGATTGGTTCTGATGTCATTTTAATTTCACTTTCATTATCAAACTTGCAATATATATCAATTTGATCTTCACCACCACGATCCGAAACAGTTCCATTAACTGTGATGTTGTTATCTGTATTCTTCAAATATGATGGCTTAGGAATTGTAACAATACTGATGTTAGGATGTATATAAATGTACTCAAATGAAATATTATATAATCTGCTCTTTAAAGTATCTTTTTCTAAATATAAATGAATTGTATTAGTGAATTCTGGTAAATCATTAGGAAGATTGATTGAATTAGAGAAATTTTTACCACTTGAATCCACTTCAACACTGAATGAATTTGATTTTTTGGAATTTTCGTTGAAGTAGTATACAATTGTGGCATTGTTTTCTCCATTTGAATATATTGCAGTTCCTGATAATGTAAATGTTTGATTACTCATCTTTATAATTTCGGTTGTATTTATACTTAAATTAGATAGATTAAGTTTATCTGTATATCCAATTGAAAATTCAAAAGAATTATTCATAGAATACTGACTATGGCACTTAGCTTGCAAAGTTATTGTGTGATCACCATAACCTAAATCCCAAATGTCAATCGTTTTATATTTAAAACTTGGTTCACTGCCATATTGAAAATATACATATTTAACCTTTTGTTCTGAATCAATATAAATGAATAACTCTACTGGATCAATTGGAACATAATATATAATATATCCAACAAGCAAATTCATTGGCGGTGGAAAAGAATACATTTTGCTAATATATTCAAATGAAACGGAAATTTCAACTGGAAATCCTATAATATCAAAACCAATACTATATGTTCTACTATTAAAATCATCTATTATTAAATAAAAATTAATTGTATTTCTGGTTTGTGGTAAATCATCTGGAATATGGATTATTTTTTCGAAATTTTTACCATATTTATCCACTTCAACCGTGAATGTATTTGAATTTTCAAAATTATTGTTGAAACAATATATAATTGTAGCTGTTGATTATCCAATTGAATATCTAGCTCTTCCTGATAATGTAAAATCTTTATCAACGTCCTTTGTGATTTCTCTTTGGCTAATATCAAAACTTGGTAGATCGAGTTTATCTGTAAATCCATATGAAAATTCAGAAGTTACATTATCAGAATATTGATTTGAACCCTTAGCTTGCAATTTTAATATGTGATCACCATAATCTAATCCATGAAAATCAATCGATGCGTAATCATTATAGTTTGAACAATTTAATGTTTCATATTGTTTCGTAGTTTTTAGTAATGAATCAAAATAAAAGTATATTTCCACAGAATCAACAGGAATATTATATAGTTCAAAACTAACATTCAAACCTTCTGTTGATTGATATGAATAGAATTCTTTCGGTGGTACGATGATTTTAATTGAAATTCTTGTAATATTGAACGAAATATGATAAATTCTGCTTATTGAATAATTTTTTTCTAAATAAAAATAAATTGTATTTGTGGTTTCTGGTAAATCACTGGGAATTTTGATTGAGATGGAGAAATTTGTACCATTAGAGTCAACTTCGACATTGGTTGAATTAGGATTTTCATCATTTTTGTTGAAATAATACATAATTGTAGCTGTTGAATTTCCTTTTGAATAACTGGCAATTCCTGATAATGTCAATTCTTGATCAATATTTTTCCTTAGTTCAGTTGAATTTATATTTAAGTTTGATAGATTAAGTTTATTTGTATATCCAAATGAAAATTCATAAGATATATTATTAGATTGTTGATCATCACATTTGGCTTGTAAAGTTAATATGTGGTCACCATAATCTAAACCGTAAATATAAATATAATCAGATTCATTTAATTGTGTTTTGCCATTTGTGTAATAGTACTCATAATCTTTTTGTAATGAATCAACATAAAAATATAAATACATATAATTACCTGGAATGTTATAAAAAGTAATATTATATTCAAATCTCCATGAATATGAATAGGTTTTCTCAGGAATATAAGATAATTCAATCCTAAATCCATTATTTTCAAGTAAATTTTTATTGTTGTTAAGTTTATGATTATGATTTAATTCGATTTCGTTTTCCGAAAAATTATCTTCCGAAATTTCAACAAAGTTGTTCGGTTTTCCAGCATCATTTTGAAATTCTGATTTACTTTCACTTAATAATGTATTATGAAACATTCCTTTTTCGTTAATTCGTTCATTTATCTTGATTTCGGAAATATTTTTGCTTCATGGTTATAGTGTAGTGATAATATGTAATGTTAAGAATTATCATATTTTGTAGATGTAACAGAACAAATGTAATTTCTTGTTTCAAAATTATTTGTATTAAATTTAAAAGTTTTTGGATAGCTGTCGTTCATTTTCATTCATTTATTGCTGTTATTCGTAATAGATTGTTTCTTTGTGAATGAAATTTGACTCTATGCCTTCAAATTAATGAAAGCATTCATCAAATTTCGGATTAAAAAAATATTGATAATTTTGTTTGTTTTCTACGGGCACTTTATGACCCAAAAAGTATATAAAATTGGAATTATCTTGATTATGATTATTTTTATTTCTGAGGCATAACAGTATTTGAATTAAAAATAATCGTAGTTGCGAAATGACACTTTTTTGGTTGATGGAGTGGAGCTTACATGCAAAATTCATCAAGAACGCTGCATATTTAAATCATTTGGATGAAATTTATAAACAATTTTCAAAGCATTTAGACATTTTACAAAGGATTAATTTTTTTTATTACAAATCTGATCCAACTATCAAAAGATATGAATTAGATTCAAATGAACTCCCAGAATTCTTAAGATTATTCCCGGAAAAAGAGGATCCTCAAGCTTATATTAATTATTGTCAAGAAAATGGAATTATTCATAGCTTTGACATTTATAATTATTCTTCATCTAAAAAAATTGTAGTTAGTCGTATGAAATTACATATTGATTTATCTGATCTCGATATAAAAGAAAGTTTTAATTCATTTGTTGTAATTCATACTATTTTTCTTTATTACGGCAGTATAAAGAATGCATTATTTTCATTTCACGAAATTGATGTTAAATATCAGCCAATTATCATTGATGAAATTAAAAACAATAATTTAATCAAAGATGCCAATTTGAAAAAGGGATCAAAAACACTCTTGATATATGCATGTGAAAATAACTTTACAGAATTGGCAATGGCGTTACTTGAATTACCTGCTGATTACAAAATAAAAGATGAACTTGGAAACACATCTATTTATTATTGTATTAAGAATTCTAATTCTTTATTAGTTCAAAATCATTTTCAATATAGTATTTACTTACTTGATCAAAACAATAGTGTATCATTTCCACTTGACTTAGCTCTTAAATCATCTGATGAATTGATTAAAACACAAGTCTGTAAATATTTCTTTCATCATAAATGGAATATTAATGATGAAGGTGAAAAAATGAAACAATACTTTAAAAAAGCCAGCGATGAAATCAAAGTTGAGTTAATACACAAATCAATTGAAATTTTCAATTCTCAGTATTATTCATTCTTTTTCGAAAATGTTGATGATCAATTTATTGACAAATATGATTTACTTACTTATGCATATGTAAATATCGTAAAACCAAATGAATCAGAAGGTCAAATTTATGCTTTATTGTATCAATTGTTGATAAGAAATGTAAGTATATCGAAATTGACAGAAGCAATTATTGAAAGAAAAGATGTTTCATTCTTCAAGTTCTTATTCTCAAATAATGATAAAAGTAAAAGAAAAATTAGCGATATTATTTTCAGTAATGGAAAAACTTTAAGAGCAGTTTTGAGCGACCTTGCGTCAGAAGACAAATGTTACAAAGAAATGCTTGATAGCATTACTTCTAATTTCAAAATAACAGTCAGTACATGGGAAATTATTGAATATCAAATGGCGACGTTTAGAACTCTTTTTGAAGGTGATCAAAATCTAATATATCAAGAGTTTATCTCCGAACCAATGTTATTTGTGATTTTCAATTTTTTAAAATCAATTTATGATGGAAACACATCTCAAGTCCTATATTGTATTAATAATGGTATGGATGTTAATATTGTTTTTGATGGTATTCATCCAATAATGCTTTGTAATGACCTAGAAATGCTAAAATTATTGATAGAAAAAGGCTCAAATTTTGCTCAAAAAATTTCCTTAACTGTTAGTCCATCCACAGTTTTGGGAATGGAATGGTTTAATCCAGAACACATTATTGATTCAGAGTCAAATTATTATGTCGAATATTATCCAGTTCATGCTATTGTTCGATATTGTAATCATGAAATGTTGAATTACTGTGTTTCTTGTGGATTGAAACTCAATATTCTTGATTCTCAAAATAACACTTTAATGCATCATGCAGCTGTTAGAGATTCGAAAATCGATCCAAATGCAAGTATGATCAAATACCTTTTTAAAAAGAAATTAAGTATTAAAACAGAAAATATTGATGGCATTCTCCCCATCCACTTTGCTCTGATAAAAAACCCTGCAGCTGCAAAATTCTTAATCGAAAATAGAGCTGATCTTGGGGCAAAAGATAGATATGGAGAGATCCCTCTTCATTATGCAGTTGCATACAGTACACCAGAAATTGTTGACCTTTATTAAGCAAAAAAAGAAATTATGATATTTGTAATAATAATTTACAATATCCAATCAACGCGATTAAATATCAAACAAATACAAGAACGATTATTCAAATCCTTCAAGTATTCGTTAACCATGGTGCCTCATTAGATCTTCCATCATATTATGATGGAGATACAATAATATTTAAATATTTAAAGAATTACGAAGTTTTAAGGTTCTTAATCGATAATGGTGCCGATCTAAATCATACTAATTATAAAGTTGGAACACCATTGTCAGAATGCATAATTACCGATAATTACGTTGGAGCCAAAATGCTTCTGGAAGGTGGTGCTGATGTAAATCAAAGCAACCACATGGCTAAATCGGTATTGTTCATGTGCAAAAATACAGAATTCATGAAGTTAATCTTACAATTTCACCCCATTCTTTATATGGATTCTGTCAAGCTCTATATAAGACGGAGGTATATTGAAATTGTAAAGGAATTAATCAAGTATTACCCAAAGGAAGATCACTATTCAATCTTTGCTGAAGCAATTAGTATTGGTTCTTATGAACTTGTAGAATATATGATTTATCATGGTTTCGACTTTCATTCAGCAAGTATTGATGGTAAAACTCCTATCTTTGATGCAATTTTGTATAATCAGGTTGATATTCTCCAACTCCTCATTAAAAGTGGTGCTGAGCTTGAATTCACTAATATTTATGGAGAAACTGCTCTTATGGCAGCAACATCTATGCTCTCTCAAACATTGGAAATGAATGATTATATGAAGCTAATAATATCCTATAACCCATCTGATTCATTAAAACTTCTTATTAATCAAGGCGTAAATTACCATGCATTAAATAAAAATGGCCATAATGTAACACAAAATGCAATTATTAATGGACTTATTTCAGCTTGGAATGTATTGAGTCCATTATCTCTTCCTCCTTTGACAATAAATCAAGAAGAAATAAGAGAACTCCGAGAAAAATTAAAAGACAGTGATGAGACTTTATTTACATATATTTCAAAGCACGATGACGAATGGTTTTATGCGGTGCACAATAGTATCTTTGAGAACAATGACAAGTACCCTGATGTAAATGAAGCGAATAAATATGGAGAAACTCCTGTTATGTGCGTTATTAAATATAATAAAAATCCGGCTCTTTTGGCATTACTTATCACTGCAGGTGCAGATGCTGATTTGGAATATAACGGAAAGACGCCATTGCAGATCTGTATCGAGAATGAATACACAGACAAAATAAGAGCATTTCTCCAAAACGAATGTTGTGATCTCAACAAGAAGTTTGACAATGAAATGAGTTATTTCCATCTCGCAATCAAGATGAATAAGAAACTTTCTATGCGAGCACTTGCATCATATGTATTTCCAGATTTTGTTGACAAAGACGGAAATTCATATCTTCACTATGCTGCATTGTCTAATGATCGTGAAATTACATACATTTGTCTTCATGTTCAAGAGAAATACATTGTTTACAACAATGAAAACATGAGTCCATTGATGCTTGCATCATCAATCAACTCATTCCGATACATTGATCAATTCATTGATTTTTGCGATAAACACTGGATTCCTATCAAAGACAAATATCGATCATTATTTCTTGCAGTAATGAATAGAAGTTTTGATTCTTATTATTCAATCTTGAAAATAATTTTATGTTCTGTTGACCCAAATTCAGAAAATACGAAATAGTACATGAAAGTATTGTGTTTTATAGTTCTTTCAGCAATTCATCATCATTCAGAATCATTTAATTCCATCATGACAATTATTCAATATGAAATAATTTCTAACGCTAAGTCAAAGAATGAGAACAAACAATGAATTGTGTTTTTTATTTTTTATAAAATTTTATTATTTTATTGTTATAAAAAATTTTTTTTAAGTGGAGTAATGATATCTAATAATTATATCATAAAAATCTCAAACATTTCTTAATGATTCATTTACCTGTTTCATGCATTTTCTAATTTTTTGCAATATCTATGTCAGTTAACCGTTTGAGCTTAAAATTGAGGGGAAAAATGAAATAAAATGTTTATTTACAAGCTTTACATAAGGTTAATGTTAATGAAAAAATGTTTTTTGGAATTGAAAAGATGTTATTATGTTTGTCATCTTTTATACTGTTGGGAACTAGAAAAAACATTAATGGTTGATGTGAAGATGATTTGTTGTCATCATCAACAACATAGATATCAAATGAATGAAGACCACATGAAACAGAATCAAGAGGAACATATTCTGAGAACGGACGAGAATTACTGTCATAAATACTAAAAGATGCCAAATCTTTATATATATCTTCATCAAGTTTGTACTTTATTGTTAATGTTCCAATCTCATCAAGATCTTCAACAACACCATAAATATAAAACTTTTTATTGACATCTTTGATGAGTGTTTGATTATCTCTCGTTGTTAATGATATTGATGGTGAATTATAATAATATTCAAATGTCGATAGAAAAGTATTGGATGATTTATTTGATTCATCAACTGCAATGACTTTAAAATAATGTAATGATTCATTAAGTTCTGAAGGGAATTCTAAATCAATGGTAAATGGATGCTCATTAACATTTAAGATTTCAATAGATTTAATATAAATGATGTTGTTGTCAATGTAAAAGTTGATTGTTACATTACCAAAACCATCAAGATCGATAACTTTACCTTCAAGATGAATACTACTGTTCAAACCTCGATGATATATACCATTATCGAATTCGTCCACAACTATTTCTGGTGGATTGTATTCGTAATATAGAGTAACGTGTTCTTCGTTTGATTTCTTGTTACGCTCATCACAACAATAAATTGTGATCTTGTGAAGAGATTCAGATAATGTTGATGGAAATTCAATTTGTTTAGAAAAAGGGATAATGCATTCTGAACTCATTTCTTCTGAAGGTAATTCTGGATATAAATCTTCATCAAATTTGTAAAAAATTGAGATGCTACCTGTACAGTCTGAATCTTGAATTGTGCCGATGATATTTATTGATTTGTTTGTAGTTCTGTAGAATGTAATACTATTTTGTGTTGAAACAGAAATAATTGGTGTATTGAAAACAAATTCAAATGTTTTACTGTAGTTTGATGATAATTTGCCGAAGCTATCTTCAATCCAAATGAAAATCGTGTGATTACTGTCTATATTGTATTGAGCAAAGTATTCCGATGCTGCAATAGAAAATGCAAAATCATGTTCATTTGTGATTATAACATTTTCAATTTCATGTCGATCACTATTGTCGAGGACGTAATAGAAGTTGACATGTTCAGCATTGTTGTCGTTTGTGAATGTTCCTGTGACAGAGATATTTGTATCAACTTTATTGTGGTATACTGATTGCGGTTCTTTGATGACAATGAGAGATAGACTGTTGAATATATATGTGAAATTGATGGTTTCTTCATTTGATATCTTAATATCTTCATCCATGCAATAAATCGTGATTTTGTGAATACCTTCACTCAAATATGATGGAATGTTGATGTTTTTAGTGAATTCATGATTTGAGGAATTATAAATTGTTATCGTTTGGAGAGGGAGATCTGAATGAGAATCATCAAAATAGTATTTTATTGAAACTTTATCACTTCCATCAAGATCGGTAACGTTTCCTTTGATTTCAATTTGTTCGTTGACCCCGCGTCGAAGTTCTTGATTGTTATTTGTTGTGATAGAGATAGATGGTCTGTTATGATTGAAAATAAATTCATATTGTAGATGCTCTGATTCTATTAGAGTAGAATCAACTGCCCATATATATATTTTGTGAGATCCTTCTTGGAATGATGATGGAATTTGAATTGTGAAATTAAATGAATAATTTCCATTTTGATCAATGATTTCGATTGGTTCTGATGTCATTTTAATTTCACTTTCATTATCAAACTTGCAATATATATCAATTTGATCTTCACCACCACGATCCGAAACAGTTCCATTAACTGTGATGTTGTTATCTGTATTCTTCAAATATGATGGCTTAGGAATTGTAACAATACTGATGTTAGGATGTATATAAATGTACTCAAATGAAATATTATATAATCTGCTCTTTAAAGTATCTTTTTCTAAATATAAATGAATTGTATTAGTGAATTCTGGTAAATCATTAGGAAGATTGATTGAATTAGAGAAATTTTTACCACTTGAATCCACTTCAACACTGAATGAATTTGATTTTTTGGAATTTTCGTTGAAGTAGTATACAATTGTGGCATTGTTTTCTCCATTTGAATATATTGCAGTTCCTGATAATGTAAATGTTTGATTACTCATCTTTATAATTTCGGTTGTATTTATACTTAAATTAGATAGATTAAGTTTATCTGTATATCCAATTGAAAATTCAAAAGAATTATTCATAGAATACTGACTATGGCACTTAGCTTGCAAAGTTATTGTGTGATCACCATAACCTAAATCCCAAATGTCAATCGTTTTATATTTAAAACTTGGTTCACTGCCATATTGAAAATATACATATTTAACCTTTTGTTCTGAATCAATATAAATGAATAACTCTACTGGATCAATTGGAACATAATATATAATATATCCAACAAGCAAATTCATTGGCGGTGGAAAAGAATACATTTTGCTAATATATTCAAATGAAACGGAAATTTCAACTGGAAATCCTATAATATCAAAACCAATACTATATGTTCTACTATTAAAATCATCTATTATTAAATAAAAATTAATTGTATTTCTGGTTTGTGGTAAATCATCTGGAATATGGATTATTTTTTCGAAATTTTTACCATATTTATCCACTTCAACCGTGAATGTATTTGAATTTTCAAAATTATTGTTGAAACAATATATAATTGTAGCTGTTGATTATCCAATTGAATATCTAGCTCTTCCTGATAATGTAAAATCTTTATCAACGTCCTTTGTGATTTCTCTTTGGCTAATATCAAAACTTGGTAGATCGAGTTTATCTGTAAATCCATATGAAAATTCAGAAGTTACATTATCAGAATATTGATTTGAACCCTTAGCTTGCAATTTTAATATGTGATCACCATAATCTAATCCATGAAAATCAATCGATGCGTAATCATTATAGTTTGAACAATTTAATGTTTCATATTGTTTCGTAGTTTTTAGTAATGAATCAAAATAAAAGTATATTTCCACAGAATCAACAGGAATATTATATAGTTCAAAACTAACATTCAAACCTTCTGTTGATTGATATGAATAGAATTCTTTCGGTGGTACGATGATTTTAATTGAAATTCTTGTAATATTGAACGAAATATGATAAATTCTGCTTATTGAATAATTTTTTTCTAAATAAAAATAAATTGTATTTGTGGTTTCTGGTAAATCACTGGGAATTTTGATTGAGATGGAGAAATTTGTACCATTAGAGTCAACTTCGACATTGGTTGAATTAGGATTTTCATCATTTTTGTTGAAATAATACATAATTGTAGCTGTTGAATTTCCTTTTGAATAACTGGCAATTCCTGATAATGTCAATTCTTGATCAATATTTTTCCTTAGTTCAGTTGAATTTATATTTAAGTTTGATAGATTAAGTTTATTTGTATATCCAAATGAAAATTCATAAGATATATTATTAGATTGTTGATCATCACATTTGGCTTGTAAAGTTAATATGTGGTCACCATAATCTAAACCGTAAATATAAATATAATCAGATTCATTTAATTGTGTTTTGCCATTTGTGTAATAGTACTCATAATCTTTTTGTAATGAATCAACATAAAAATATAAATACATATAATTACCTGGAATGTTATAAAAAGTAATATTATATTCAAATCTCCATGAATATGAATAGGTTTTCTCAGGAATATAAGATAATTCAATCCTAAATCCATTATTTTCAAGTAAATTTTTATTGTTGTTAAGTTTATGATTATGATTTAATTCGATTTCGTTTTCCGAAAAATTATCTTCCGAAATTTCAACAAAGTTGTTCGGTTTTCCAGCATCATTTTGAAATTCTGATTTACTTTCACTTAATAATGTATTATGAAACATTCCTTTTTCGTTAATTCGTTCATTTATCTTGATTTCGGAAATATTTTTGCTTCATGGTTATAGTGTAGTGATAATATGTAATGTTAAGAATTATCATATTTTGTAGATGTAACAGAACAAATGTAATTTCTTGTTTCAAAATTATTTGTATTAAATTTAAAAGTTTTTGGATAGCTGTCGTTCATTTTCATTCATTTATTGCTGTTATTCGTAATAGATTGTTTCTTTGTGAATGAAATTTGACTCTATGCCTTCAAATTAATGAAAGCATTCATCAAATTTCGGATTAAAAAAATATTGATAATTTTGTTTGTTTTCTACGGGCACTTTATGACCCAAAAAGTATATAAAATTGGAATTATCTTGATTATGATTATTTTTATTTCTGAGGCATAACAGTATTTGAATTAAAAATAATCGTAGTTGCGAAATGACACTTTTTTGGTTGATGGAGTGGAGCTTACATGCAAAATTCATCAAGAACGCTGCATATTTAAATCATTTGGATGAAATTTATAAACAATTTTCAAAGCATTTAGACATTTTACAAAGGATTAATTTTTTTTATTACAAATCTGATCCAACTATCAAAAGATATGAATTAGATTCAAATGAACTCCCAGAATTCTTAAGATTATTCCGGAAAAAGAGGATCCTCAAGCTTATATTAATTATTGTCAAGAAAATGGAATTATTCATAGCTTTGACATTTATAATTATTCTTCATCTAAAAAAATTGTAGTTAGTCGTATGAAATTACATATTGATTTATCTGATCTCGATATAAAAGAAAGTTTTAATTCATTTGTTGTAATTCATACTATTTTTCTTTATTACGGCAGTATAAAGAATGCATTATTTTCATTTCACGAAATTGATGTTAAATATCAGCCAATTATCATTGATGAAATTAAAAACAATAATTTAATCAAAGATGCCAATTTGAAAAAGGGATCAAAAAACACTCTTGATATATGCATGTGAAAATAACTTTACAGAATTGGCAATGGCGTTACTTGAATTACCTGCTGATTACAAAATAAAAGATGAACTTGGAAACACATCTATTTATTATTGTATTAAGAATTCTAATTCTTTATTAGTTCAAAATCATTTTCAATATAGTATTTACTTACTTGATCAAAACAATAGTGTATCATTTCCACTTGACTTAGCTCTTAAATCATCTGATGAATTGATTAAAACACAAGTCTGTAAATATTTCTTTCATCATAAATGGAATATTAATGATGAAGGTGAAAAAATGAAACAATACTTTAAAAAAGCCAGCGATGAAATCAAAGTTGAGTTAATACACAAATCAATTGAAATTTTCAATTCTCAGTATTATTCATTCTTTTTCGAAAATGTTGATGATCAATTTATTGACAAATATGATTTACTTACTTATGCATATGTAAATATCGTAAAACCAAATGAATCAGAAGGTCAAATTTATGCTTTATTGTATCAATTGTTGATAAGAAATGTAAGTATATCGAAATTGACAGAAGCAATTATTGAAAGAAAAGATGTTTCATTCTTCAAGTTCTTATTCTTCAAATAATGATAAAAGTAAAAGAAAAATTAGCGATATTATTTTCAGTAATGGAAAAACTTTAAGAGCAGTTTTGAGCGACCTTGCGTCAGAAGACAAATGTTACAAAGAAATGCTTGATAGCATTACTTCTAATTTCAAAATAACAGTCAGTACATGGGAAATTATTGAATATCAAATGGCGACGTTTAGAACTCTTTTTGAAGGTGATCAAAATCTAATATATCAAGAGTTTATCTCCGAACCAATGTTATTTGTGATTTTCAATTTTTTAAAATCAATTTATGATGGAAACACATCTCAAGTCCTATATTGTATTAATAATGGTATGGATGTTAATATTGTTTTTGATGGTATTCATCCAATAATGCTTTGTAATGACCTAGAAATGCTAAAATTATTGATAGAAAAAGGCTCAAATTTTGCTCAAAAAATTTCCTTAACTGTTAGTCCATCCACAGTTTTGGGAATGGAATGGTTTAATCCAGAACACATTATTGATTCAGAGTCAAATTATTATGTCGAATATTATCCAGTTCATGCTATTGTTCGATATTGTAATCATGAAATGTTGAATTACTGTGTTTCTTGTGGATTGAAACTCAATATTCTTGATTCTCAAAATAACACTTTAATGCATCATGCAGCTGTTAGAGATTCGAAAATCGATCCAAATGCAAGTATGATCAAATACCTTTTTAAAAAGAAATTAAGTATTAAAACAGAAAATATTGATGGCATTCTCCCCATCCACTTTGCTCTGATAAAAAACCCTGCAGCTGCAAAATTCTTAATCGAAAATAGAGCTGATCTTGGGGCAAAAGATAGATATGGAGAGATCCCTCTTCATTATGCAGTTGCATACAGTACACCAGAAATTGTTGACCTTTTATTAAGCAAAAAAAGAAATTATGATATTTGTAATAATAATTTACAATATCCAATCAACGCGATTAAATATCAAACAAATACAAGAACGATTATTCAAATCCTTCAAGTATTCGTTAACCATGGTGCCTCATTAGATCTTCCATCATATTATGATGGAGATACAATAATATTTAAATATTTAAAGAATTACGAAGTTTTAAGGTTCTTAATCGATAATGGTGCCGATCTAAATCATACTAATTATAAAGTTGGAACACCATTGTCAGAATGCATAATTACCGATAATTACGTTGGAGCCAAAATGCTTCTGGAAGGTGGTGCTGATGTAAATCAAAGCAACCACATGGCTAAATCGGTATTGTTCATGTGCAAAAATACAGAATTCATGAAGTTAATCTTACAATTTCACCCCATTCTTTATATGGATTCTGTCAAGCTCTATATAAGACGGAGGTATATTGAAATTGTAAAGGAATTAATCAAGTATTACCCAAAGGAAGATCACTATTCAATCTTTGCTGAAGCAATTAGTATTGGTTCTTATGAACTTGTAGAATATATGATTTATCATGGTTTCGACTTTCATTCAGCAAGTATTGATGGTAAAACTCCTATCTTTGATGCAATTTTGTATAATCAGGTTGATATTCTCCAACTCCTCATTAAAAGTGGTGCTGAGCTTGAATTCACTAATATTTATGGAGAAACTGCTCTTATGGCAGCAACATCTATGCTCTCTCAAACATTGGAAATGAATGATTATATGAAGCTAATAATATCCTATAACCCATCTGATTCATTAAAA